TTATTTATTTATTCATGAGACACACACACAGAGGCAGAGACACAGGCAGAGGGAGAAGCAGGCTCCATGCAGGGAGCCCGACATTGGACTCTATCTCAGGTCTCCAGAATCACGCGCTGGGCTGAAGGCGGCGCTAAACCGCTGAGCCACCAGGGCTGCCCTGGGGTTGTTTTTTAAATTGGGAAATGTTTCTTAGGGTTTTTAGGAGGATTCAATAAAATCCTGTATATATGCACATAATAGGATATTCTGTATCTTACTATTCAGTGATGGGAATGACTAATATTTGTGCCAAATACATATTTGTAGTTTTTCAAAAATAGTTGACAATGTTTAATTTTAAAAGCTAAGCTTAATTTAAGTCATCTCAATTCAGTCTGACAATATGGATTAATGTAGTAAGATAATTTCATTGAAAACAGTTTTTACTAACTAAACAAAAACGTGACTAGAATTTCAAAGAGGTGAGTGAAGTAAAGAATGATAATGAACAAGTTTAAGTTGGTCTCGATGCTAACCTAACAATCTTGAACCTTAAGCCCAGTTAAATGTTTTTCTAGCATTGACGAGGTTCTTAGGTTCTCCCACAACCCATTATTTTTGTAGGAGGTACTAGGTCATTAGCCTCTTTGGGACTCTGTTGTATTATTATACTTTACATTTTTCCTATTCCTGTAGATCTGAATGAAAAACATTTCCAGTTTGTCCAGAAAGCTTTTTTTTTCCTCTTGGATTTTAAACTGTCCTAGATGGTCTTTGTGATTTTAGAACTCAATATGTACAAATTGGCCAGATTTCATCTCTCTCTGGAATCTGCATTCCTTACACTATCCATTTTGGATTAAGCACAAAATTTCCTATCTGAGCAGTATCTCAGCTATGAACTGATCTCCTGAAATAAGATCATTGATTTCAACTTGTCTCACTAAGCCATTCCTAGTTTGAGATACTCTACCTTACTTTCCCTAATTCTTCTCTATGACATAGGACTACATTATCTTAATTTATACTTACAATATTCTAAATATGAGAATTATTGCTGTGCTTACCACAAAAGCAGAAAGAGGGCAACAAAAATTATTTACCAACAAGGAAATAGAGTAACTAAAAAACAGACACAAAAACTCAGTATAGCAGTCAAGGTTATTTAGTATAGAAGGAAATAGGTTTGACTATCTTAGTCTCAAGTATATCATGTCTTAAAATATTGTAGTGACTGTGTTAATAAAGCCTTTAAGTCAGTGGTTCTTAACCAGAAGGGTACATTATCATAAACTTAAAATCAATATATATGTATTTATGTTTATATTTAATGACATAAGTAAGACAACACAGAAGATTCTGATTGTTTGAGGTAGAACTCAGCACATATCTTTGCAAGTTCCCTTAGTAGTAGTTCTCATAGGGCAGCCCCGGTGGCTCAGCGGTTTAGCGCCGCCTTCAGCCAAGGGCGTGATCCTGGAGACCAAGGATCAAGTCCCACGTCAGGCTCCCTGCATGGAGCCTGCTTCTCCCTCTGCCTGTGTCTCTGCCTCTCTCTCTCTCTCTCTCTCTCTGTCTGTCTCTCTGTCTCTCTGTCTCTCATGAATAAATGAATAAAATCTTTTAAAAAAAAGTAATTCTCATAAATATCTTTGATTAAAAATCATTGTTCTGATAAAGCAAGAAAAGGTAGTTACATTCAGAATGTTTTGCATAAAACTTCAGAGGTATTTATATAATCAATACTAGTCATTAAGGAAAAAAAGAAAACTAATAGAAAAACAGGCAAAGATTAGAAAATAAATGAAAGGAGAAATACAAATGACTGTTAACTTTGTGGAAATAGATTCAACCTCACTACTAGGCAAAGAAATATATTTTTTCCTAACCAGATCACCAACAATGGAAAAATTAATAATCCTTATTTCGGCCTGTTTGTAGAAATAGGCACTCACGTTAATTACTGGTAGGAGTGTGAGTTACTTTGTCAATATATATATCAAAGTTTTAAACGTTTTTATTATCTAACCAGTAGTTTTAGGTATTTATTCCAAAGAAATTAGAAAATCAGATTGCAAAGCAACATTTACAATGTGACCTATATGGTTAAATCAGCATTTTTTTTAAAGTGAAAGGCCTGTATAGTATACCAAATTAATACTAGTAATTATAGCTGGAAGATACAACAACAGAATTTTTTTTTTTTTTAATGTCAGTATTGCAGTATCCTTATGGGTGGCTTTGGTATATCAGAGAGATATCCTTAGTATTGAAGAGACATTAGAGAACTGTGTATCTTTTGGGCTGACGAAAATTGCTTACTGATTTCAGTCAGTGGTAAGATCTGAAGCCCTTGATTTTTCTAATTGCCCTGATACCCCAGTCTGAACTCTTTTAAATAATTACTAAAATTTTAAACAGTAATCTCATTATCCACCCAGTGAAGTCAAAGATAGTCCTAAGATTGTAGACAAACTACTTTGTTACTTTTATAATTCTTTTTCCTTTTAAGATATTTAAATGTTTTCCTGTTTTGCTCTAAAGATACTTTAAGCCTATTGAATTCTTTACACTCAGTAATTCTGTGGTAACCTCTTTTGAATTTGATGGAATCTGACATTCCATATTCTCCCCGCCCCCAGCTCTACTAAAGTATATTTGACAAGTAAAATTGTATATATCTAAAGTTTTAATAGCTCTGTGTCACAGTTTCTTAGGTCATTCAATTGACAGTTTTGACTTTCCAGTTTTTGCTCCTAGTTAATATTCATTTTAAATTACTGAAGAGCAGTATATTTGTGTATTTTATATGGAGTAAATCTGTTTTGATTTGTGGGAAGGAGGTAAAAAACCTCAAGGATCTACTGAAGAACTATTCGAGTCTATGAAAGAATTTAACTGCTGTAAAGTAGTAGGTTATAAGATACATGTATAAGAATCAGCTTTTCTGGGATCCCTGGGTGGTGCAGCGGTTTAGCGCCTGCCTTTGGCCCAGGGCGCGATCCTGGAGACCCAGGATCGAATCCCACATCAGGCTCCCGGTGCATGGAGCCTGCTTCTCCCTCTGCCTGTGTCTCTGCCTCTCTCTCTCTCTGTGTGTGACTATCATAAATAAATAAAAAATTAAAAAAAAAAGAATCAGCTTTTCTGCAGACCGTATATGAAGAAAACTAACAAAAAGACTTAAGCTGAGAGGTTTTTTTTCCATGTGATTGTATAAGAAGTGGTATCCACTATAAGTTTTTCCCAAACTTGTACAGGTTTAATTTTAGTCAGTATCTCAATAGACTTTTATTTTTGGAGGAATGGGAGAGAGTGGGTAGTACCTTGAAAAAATTCTAACTCATTTAGAATGGTCAAGACGTTTTTGAAAAAGTAATGAACAAGTACTTGTCATATCAATATGAGGAAAGACTGTAATGCTACTATATAATAAGACATTGTGGTTCTGATAGGCCACTGGACTAGAAAAAGATAATGTTCTATGTAAGAATTTGGTAGTAGCATAAATCAGTGTAACAGTAAGGATTATTTAATAAATGGTGTTAGAATAATTGTTGACCACTTGGAAGAAAAGAAGTGAAGTTAAAATTTCCCCCTCAAATCTTTATCAAAGTAAATTTTAGGTGAATTAAAGTTATTTATGAAGTAGAAGCTGTAAGAAACCAAAAGAAATGTAGGTAAATATATAATGACCTAGCAGAAGGAGTTTATAAGCATGGAAATCACATAGAGAAAAGTAGATAATTCTTAACATAGAATTGAAAACTTCTGTAATAAAAGCTGTGATAAACACAGTTAACAGACAAATGAAAAAAATGACACTGTTTCCAACAAATGTAACAAAGTGTACACACACGCACACATCTAGTTGTTGAGGGGCAAGGAAGAGACAACCTGTGACTTTAAACCATTTTGGGATATAACCTTTTCCCAGAAAAATGCATATGCCTCGTATGCACATCAACAGGCATGTACACACAAATACACATGCCCACAACTTTCAGTATAATTTTAGGAGACTCACGTGTTCACAAGAGTTTTATAGACCACAAAGAAGTGCCTGGTAAATATGACTAAACCTCACCCTTGCCATTAAGTAAATTGATTTTATAAAACTGTAATGTTGAATATTGGTGAAACTATTGCTAATGGAATGTAAATTAAATTAGTAAAACTTCCCTGAAAAGCTGTTTGGTTTTTTCAATGTCAGAGTTTTACCTAAAAATTCTATTTCTAAGAGTTATTTTAAGAAAACATCACTTTCTGACAAATTTTTATTCAGCAATGATCATTATGTATTGAAATGCTTATTACGTATAGTAGCAAAAAATTGGAGGGAAGCAACCTCAATGCTCAACTTCAATGGTAATTTAAATTATGGTTTAGCTAAGTAACAGTATCATAGAGCCATTATATAATGTTTTTAAAAGACTTTGGAAAAAAAATAAAAATAAAAAAATAAAAGACTATTTGGTGATGTGGGAAAATAAAATGTACTGTTAAATGAAAACAAATGCTCTAAGATATTAAAAAAAAGTTATGTCTAGGTGATGGGACTATTTAAATTTATTCGTTTTTGTGTAAATGTATTCATTTATTTTTATAGTGAGTATGTGTTTTATACTTTTTTTAAAGATTTTATTTATTTATTCATGAGAGACAGAGAGATAGGCAGAGACACAGGCAGAGGGAGATGCAGGCTCCATTTAGGGAGCGTAATGTGGGACTCGATCCCGGGACTCCAGGATTACACCCCGGGCCGAAGGCAGGCACTAAACTGCTAATCCACCTGGGGATCCCTGTGTTTTATACTTCAAATGCTTGAAAAGAATGTTACTCTATTTTGTTGTATATATTTTAGAGTTTTACTTGAAAATGGGTAAAATGATAGTGATTTAACTCTCAAATATATTGGAAAACTTAAGTTGTTATTGGCGTAAGAAAGTTTATCTTAAAACATATGTTGAATTACGACAAACAATTAATTTTTGGATACCTTTTCCTTCTCCTACCAGAAGTGGAAGACTTGTTTTCTTCACTTAAACATATCCAACATACTTTGGTAGATTCTCAGAGCCAGGAGGATATCTCACTGCTTTTACAACTTGTACAAAATAAAGATTTCCAGAATGCATTTAAGATACACAATGCTGTCACAGTACATATGAACAAGGCCAGTCCTCCTTTTCCTCTTATCTCCAATGCACAAGATCTTGCGCAAGAGGTATGTATTCTAAACATCTGCTTGATGTATATAAGCTAACTGGTAGTGCTAGTAAGGCAGTATTGTTGGAAAATGCCGATGTGAATATAAGGTTTGTTACTATTGATCACACGTTAGTAATTTATTGTGTTAGGAAAAATTTGCTGCGTGTATTTTATCCTGAAAAATATATACTCCAGAATCAGCTGTTTCATGAAAAGAATTATTTATTTTATATATAAAATTATATACTTGCACAGTGAGAGAAACATTTGTCTAACTTACTAAAGGGAAGATTTTTAGTGCTTTTATAAATGTATAGTTTTATTTTAAGCATTATATGTTATAAACTGAAATGGGTACTGATGACATAAAATTGTATCTGATAATCAGGTATCATAAATATATATCTTCTTTAATATACAGTGAGTTTGTCTCATTAACATGCCAACTTTGAAGTTCTGGTTTCTGCTGCTTGTTGATGTTGATACTCACTGTCTAATTTTAAAAGTACCATAGCAAAGAGACTCTGTGAACATTTGCTTTTACATCCTTACAATATCTTCAATAATACTCAAGAATTATGTTGTTTTGGTGGTGGGTATGATATGTGACTGATAGTCTCCTTGACTGAGACTGGTCTAAATGAGTACAAAGTGATGGACCTAGTCAGGGCCATAGTGTGTGTGGTTGTGCTGCTGTGTGAGTTAACTTCCCCTGTAGCTGTGTCTGCACAAATACGTAGCAGCCCTAACTTACAATGCATAACACTTAAGGAAAGTTTATATTCAGAGCTCATCATAGCAAAGTGTTTCATGACAAAATTTTAAAAGTTGAAATGCTGGAAAAATGTTAGTAATCACCTAATTCAAGTCTTCTGTTTTATATTTCTGAATATTGATAGTGAGGTCAGGTGAGGTTTTGTGAATAGCATATAAGACTAATTAGGCTGCTCATCTGCCCAGTGCCTGCTGTTTTGCTTTTTAGTATTCAAAATTCCAGCTTTTTAAATATGGAGTATTTAAAAGAAGAAATCACCTCATGCTTTAATTGTATCATTTTTAAATGAAAATTTAAGTTAAAAACCCCAAGGAACTTAGCCAAAGATGTCTTAAAACATTAATTAGGAAGTGTTCTTTGTTTTCATAGCTTTTTAAAATAGTACTTTTATAGTTTTTTTGTTAAACAATGAGGTATTATATAATAGATAATAAAGCCTATGAAAACTTCATATATTGAGATCCAGATTACATCTTTGACAATCTAGGGTATTTATTAATAACCACAAATCAATTTGTTTTTTGTCATTAAAGTGCTTTTATCAAGAAAAGTTTGAACCACCTGGGTTTCATTTAATGAACTTTTGCTTATCCAGAAAAAATGCAAGCCAGCAGACTAGGAAATATATTTTATTTTATTATTTGATTTTGAGATATTGAGAGATATATACATGTGCATATAAAAACTGGAATCCCAAAGAACTCTCACATATTAATAAGAAAAAGACTATTCAGGTTTTTTTTAGAATAGACAAAGAACTTGAAGAGACACTCACAAAAAGAAAATCCAAATGGCCAATAAGTTTGGCAAAATATTCAGATCATTAGCTAACAGAAATGTTATTTATTTGTTTATTTATTTTAAGATTTTATTTATTTATTCATGAGAGATACAGAGAGGGGCAGAGACATAGGCAGAGGGAGAAGCAGGCTCCTTGCAGGGAGCCTGTCGTGGGACTTGATCCCGGGTCTCCAAGATCACGCCCTGGGCTGAAGGCTGCCCGAAAAATGCAAATTAAAACAAAATGGCATACCACTACATAGGCAACAGAATGACTAAAATTAAGAAAAAAAAAAAAAGACTGACAATATAAAATGTTGGTGAACTTATGGAGCAATTGAAACTCACATACATAACTGGTGGAGTATAAATTGGTACTACCACTTTGGGAAATGTTTGGCAAACTAAAGCTTAATGTACCTATTTAGATGACCTAGCAGTTCCACTTCTGGGTGTATGCCTGAGAGAAATGAAAACATATCCACACAAGGGTGTAAGTACAAATACTGTTTATAGCATTTAGATAATAACTGGATTCAACACAGGTGTCCAGTGACCAGTGAAAGTTGAGTTAGCCTATCACTGAGGAAGTACCATGAATAAACAATTATGGTGTGATGAGAAGTACTCTGATGGCAGTATGAGTAAGATACCAAAAGCACAACTTTGATGTGCCTGATTCAAGGGGAGGTGATGGGAGAAAGGAAGAAATACAGAAGAAAATTTAATTTGCTGAGCCTTGAAGGATGATTGGGATTTTGCCAGGAAGTCCAAGAAAGAGGAAAAGCCATTCCACTGGGAAAGGGTACAAAGACTGTAGTGATTAAGGAAGTCTGGCATATTTCTTCAACAATGAGCAAAGGGTAGGATATAATCTTGAAAGTTAGAGTCCAGATTCCAAAGGCCAGATAAGCCATATTAGTAAGTTTAAATTTAACTTACAATGGATTAGTTGGTAAATATTTTAAAATAATTAACTCACATGAATAGATGAAAGGAGAAAACCATATGATCAACTTGATGCAGAAAAGATAACCTGAAAAAAATTTAATACCTTTCCCTTGATGAAAATTCTTAGAAAACCTGGCACATTTTGTTAACTTAATAAAAAAATAATATTAAATATCAATAGGGAGCATCCTGTGTAACGGTGAAATACCCAACACATTGCTTTTTAAGCCTGGAATAGGACAATCTATAGACTCTCACCTCTAGTATTCAGTATTTTTCTGGAGGTACTAGCTAGTGAAATGAAATAGGAAGAAGTGATGAAATATAAAATTGTGAGAGAAAGCAAAACTATGAAATTATTTCTAATTTGAATAGGTTGAATTACTCTGAGGAACAAAAACCTTGGTTTGTTATTCAACACGGTGCCTGTTGAAATATGGATATAATTTGTATATATACAAACATATCCAAACATGCATGTGAGAAATATTGGAAGAAATAAATCATTGAGAAGGCTATCTCTAGGTGGTGGGTAGATAGGTAATTTTCTTATTTTGATGTTTATGTGTTTCCCAGATTTAATATGAAAAAGTCACTGTAAAGAAAAGCTTAAAGCAAGATATTTATAAGTTGTATGAGGTCAAGAATGAAGGCATAAAGTATGGAGGCTGTTGTAATTGTCCAGAAGTAAGATTTTAATAGCAATTGAACATGAAGTGAGGAAATATTTAAATAGAAAATTAATAGGACATATTGCCCCTAAATGGAGAACAGAGGTAAAGGGAACATCAGGATGACTTCCTGCCCTCTCTGATTGAATTTGTCAAACATTGCATTGCCCTTTGCCAGGCATTCAGCCAAATAACAAAGCTGAAAAAGATAAGTTCCATCTTCAGTGAGCTCAGTCAAGTCCATCAACAATTTTAAATCAAATGTGTTCAGACTTATGAGTACATGTTATCTAAGCAAATAGAATAAGACAGTTCAGGTAGCTGGGGGAGTGAGCATCATAGGGAGTATTCATAGTCATCATAGGGAGACAGCATGCAGAGAACAAGCAGTTTAGGGCTGGACCAAAAAGGTCAAGACAGGAGGAATGTTAAGTGATAGGGTTGGAAAAGAAGCAGAAGTCAGATTATGCTAAGAAGCTTGGACTTGATCCTGTAAGTGACAGTCAACAAGAACTAAAATGTTTATATTTCTGTTCTACAATTTAAAAGGTTATTAAAATATTTTTTAAATTGTCAAATCAAAGCAGTTACAGAATTGTATAAATAGCATGATCTCATTTCGAAAAAAACAAATATAATGGATAAACACAGATTTTCCCATAGTTTTCGGGTTATGGGCATATTTTTTTTGTAGCAAACTTTTTTGAGATATAATTTACATGTGCTTACAATGGGTACATTTATTGTATAGTTCAGTATACACAATTATACACCTATGTAATCTACCACCACAGTCAGGTTATAGAAGTATCCACTAAGCTCCCTCATGGCCTTTTGCAGACAATAACCACCTCTTTCCCACTCCCCAGGCCCTAGGCCTTCACTGATCTGTTTTGTGCTTTTATAAATTTGCCTTTTCTGGGCATTTCATATAAACAGAATAAGATAATATGTAGTCTTTTGTGTTGTCTTTTTCAAATTCATCCATGTGTTGTATTTGTAACTTCTTGCTGAGTAAGTGGCATTCCATTGTAGAAATATCCCACAATTTGTTTCACCACTCACCTATTGATTGATATTTGAGTTGTTTCCTATTTATCATTCTAGTAGATGTGTAATGGTATCTCATTTGAGTTTGTATTTATATATATTGAGCATTTTTTCATGGGCTATTTCCCTATGTTCTTTTGTAAAATAGCTTGTCAGATTTTTTTTTCCCCACTTTAAAAATCAGATTGTTGGTCTTACTGAGTTGAGAGTTCTTAGTATATTCTAGTTACAGGGATCCTTGGGTGGCTCAATGGTTTAGCGCCTGCCTTCGGCCCAGGGCGTGATCCTGGAGTCCCGCGATCAAGTTCCACATCAGGCTCTCTGCATGGTGCCTACTTCTCCCTCTGCCTGTGTCTCTGCCTCTCTCTCTCTCTCTCTCTCTGCGTCTCTCATGAATAAATAAAATCTTTAAAAAAAAAATCCTTTTCTCCTTTTCTCAGGTCCTTTTCTCAGATATGTATCTCATGGTGAATTTTGGTAGAAACAAAGATAAGAATACAGGAGGATATGTACTAAATGAGTATCCCTAGGTCTGAGAGTTATAATGACTTTTATTTCCTTCTTTTTGGTTAACTGTTTTCCAATCTTTCTCATTTAACATATACTATTTCTATAATTTAAAACACTAGTTTAAAAATGAAAAAGGAGGATTGGGGGGTTTGTGCAATTGGGTGATGGGCATTAAGGAGGATATGTGATGTAATGAACATTGGGTGTTACGTACAACTGATGAATCAATGAACTCTACCACTGAAACTATAATAATACACTGTATGTTAATTAAATTTAAATAAAATTAAATTTTAAAAGAAAGAAAAAGGATTTTAGCTCTGAAATAGAGAAAAACAGTGTAGCTAGAAAAGAGTCCTAGATCAGAAGAGAGTAGTTCTTTTTAAAGATAAGAGATTAGGGGGGGATCCCTGGGTGGCGCAGCGGTTTGGCGCCTGCCTTTGGCCCAGGGCGCGGTCCTGGAGACCCGGGATCGAGTCCCACGTCGGGCTCCCGGTGCATGGAGCCTGCTTCTCCCTCTGCCTATGTCTCTGCCTGCCTCTCTCTCTCTCTCTCTCTCTCTCTCTCTCTCTCTCTCTATCATAAATAAATAAAAAAAAATTTAAAAATAAAAAAAAAGATAAGAGATTAGGGCATTTTTATAGGCCAGTGAAAAGGAAACAGTACAGTGTAAGAATAGCCTTTTAATTCCTTAGTTCTTGGTAGAAATAGCTATTGATGTGTGGGTACACTAAATAGGTAACAACATCTGGACTAATAAGGAAAGGAAATAAACCTTAAGAGGAGCTCTACATTTCTGTAGGTTGAAAGATCTCAGAGATGTTTAGGAACTGATTTAAAAGTAAAAATAGGGGCAGTCCCAGTGGCTTAGTGGTTTAGCACCGTCTTCAGCCTGGGTGTGATCCTGGAGACCCGGGATCAAGTCCCACATCGGGCTCCCTGCGTGGAGCCTGCTTCTCCCTCGGTCTGTGTCTCTGCCTATCTACTCCCTCTCTTGTGTCTCTCATGAATAAATGAATAAAATATAAAAAAAATAAAATAAAAGTAAAAATAGGAAAAATTGTACACAAAATTATTAATGAGTTGATTTGGTACACACTGTATGCTTTTAGTACATTTTTAATCCAAAATTTTCTTTTCTCCTCAGAATTACTTTCTCCAGCTATCAAAAGGTTGGGATCAGGGACTACATTTCATTTTAAATTAGCCTAGATTTAAAAAATAAATAAGCCTAGATTTGATACATTTTAAAAAGAAAAAAAAACCTTATTTTAAAAGTTAACATTTAACTGCCCACAGTTTTGGGTAACTGCGTTTGCCCATTAGTAAGACTTTAATAGAATTCTTAAAGTAGATAATAATTGCTATGCTATCATATATATATATATATATATATATATATATATATATACACAACTAACTCTACAATTAGAAACATGTTTGTCTAGGTACCAAAACAAGAGAACAGGCTGATTTGGGAACTATCCTCGCTTTGATCCACTTGTTGTGGTCAAATTAATTAACTCCCAAATAATCATCTCTTAGGTTTGATAGGGGAATTACTAATAAAATGATTTAAAATAGCCATAAGAAGTATTAGAGAATTACTGTTTTAATCATGAGTTATTTTTATAAAAAATTCTATATATGAATTTATGTTTTTGTTAAGGGTGCTAATTTTGGTTTTATCTGCATTATTGCAAAACAGTCTTTTTGGTGGGTAATTGAGTTTGAAAATAAGAAAAGGGAAGAAAATCAGAGGTATCGACACTGAGAACATACATAGAATCATCTTTGGGGGAAAAATAGTCCACAAAGCAAAATTTGTACCTTTAAAAACTTGTGGTAGAAGAAAGAAGATTGAATATAATGAACTGGGGGCCCCTGGGTGGCTCAGTCGGTTAAGCATCCAACTCTTGATTTCAGCTCAGGTCATGATCTCAAGGTGATGGGATGGAGCTTTGTATTGGGCTCCAAGCTCAGTGAGGTGTCTGCTTGAGATTCTCTCTCTCCCTCTCCTTCTGCCCCTCCCCCCACCAACAGTATTTCTAAATAAGTAAATTTTTTGGTGTTTTTTTTTTTGTTTTTTTTTTTTAAGAGGGACGCCTGGGTGGCTCAGTGGTTGAGCATCTGCCTTCACTCAGGGTGTGATCTTGGGGTCCTAGGATCGAGTCCCACATTGGGCTCCCCACAGGGAGCCTGCTTCTCTCTCTGCCTATGTCTCGGCCTCTCTGTGTCTCTCATGAATAAATAAATAAAAGATTTTTTAAAATTAACCCAAATGAAATTGGGTTTTAGAAATTGCAAAGGGGAATTAACTAAAGCAGAAGAAAGGAATTGGATTATTTAAATGGCAAGAATAATTTAAACTTAGAAGCTAGGTTTTTGAAAAGTATAAGGAAATAGAGAAATCTTTGACAAGTTACATAAAGGAAGAAAATACCAATAACATTAGGCAATCCACCTTTACAAAAAAATCTACCATGCCCAGATTATCTTATGTACAAGCTCTATCAAAACATTAAGGAACATAGAATTCTTGTGTTAAATAAACTGTTATAACACATAAATATAGACTATGTCCCACCTCAGTGTACTAGGATAGTATAACCTAGATACTAAAACCAGACAGTAGTTTTGTAAACTGGTATACATGACTGCACTTTAAACAAGTAGAGGCCAGTCCAATTTAGGAACATTAATGTAGAAATCTTAAAGTAGGAATTTATTATGTGCCTCAGTGGTGTGCTAAGCAGTTTATATGAATTATCTCAGTCTTAAGAACCTCAAATGGTAGGTGCCATTCTACAGATAAGAAAATAAAACCTAAAAAATTCATCATAATCAAGTGGAGTTTATCCTAGGAATACAAGGATTGCTCAACCTCAGGAGATTTTTTTTAATGTAATTACCTTTGCCTGTGATAATGGTAGGTGTTCATTACTCTCATGTAAGTTTTTCTTCTTAGTCTGTAACCTGATTTAAAATGCAGTTACATAAACATGATTTTAAAACTGTAACTAGTTACTGTTAGAATAGTTTTTCTTCCTTTATGTAATCATTACTAGTCTATTTTATAGTATATTGGGAGAAACTTTGAAGAAGCAAATAGATCATTCATAGTCATAAATAGCAAAATCTTATCTAGTGTATTTTTTAATATAAAAATTTTAAATTATATCTTTTAAAAAAATACTTGTATAGATGTTGGTGATATTTCCTGTAACCTAGGAAAAATAATCTTAATGTTTCTTAGGTACAAACTGTTTTGAAGCCAGTCCACCATAAGGAAGGACAAGAACTAACTGCTTTGCTGAGTGCCCCACATGTTCAGGTAGAAAATGAACAGAATGATATATAAGTGATTTATATAGCATTCAAAGTCTCTGATAAGTCTCTGAGGACTAGAAGAGACCTCATACATTATCTGTGTAGCTTGTTTGACTTATAACTTGCACTGTAAAATAATTACTATGTTGTAATATATATTATTTATATTTTGGATTATATCTTTTTATATTTAAAATTAACCTCATTAGTAGTTTTGAAACAACTTTGTATTCTGTACAAAAATTCTTCCCTTTTTTGGTATATTCTCTGTAAATTTTAATTATCTCAGATGTTGAGCCATTAAATTGATTTTGCTTTTATGAAGATTAATAAACATTTTAGACTTTCATAACCATCTCAGAGTTAGCCTATTGTACTTTACACATCTTTTTTATTAGTTATAAAAGATACAGAGTTGCATCTAAACTTCAATTAGAAAATTTGGAAATAGATCTGAATATATAAATAATTATAGAACTTCCTGTATAAGTTTAATGACTAGAATATTAATCTACATGATTAGGTTAAAAATCTCTCTTACAGAGATAAAATCATGCTGCTACTTTAAATGCTGTGAATGTCTTTGAAACAGGCACTTTTACTGGCCCATGATAAGGTTGCTGAGCAGGAAATGCAGCTAGAACCCTTTACAGATGAGAGAGTTTATGAAAGCATTGGCCAGTATGGAGGAGAAACTGTAAAAATAGTTCGTATTGAAAAGGCTCGAGATATTCCACTGGTAAGTGCTCCACATCTCTGATCTGAAATCCTTTCTACACAGGGCTTTTGTGTATGGCAAATAGTTGAAGACCTCTACATTTCTAGTAGTTTTTCTTTTTTGAGGTTGATTTGCTGGAGTTCTTTTATGTTCTTGCTAATATTCCTTTTTCAGTTGAGAAAAGTTTGTTCTTTTCTTACCTATAATTTGATGAAAATAATAGCTTGTAAAATAATTGTTGAGGAACAAAGAAGGGGTGAGTTATCTGCTTCATTATTCTCCCAGCTTTAAAAAAAAAAAAAAAACAACAGTAATTAGAAAGTCTGATCTAAAAAGAAAAAGAAAGAAATTCTGATCTTTTCATTCCATTAATACTGTTGAAATACAATTATTTATATAGTTCACATGTACTTAGAAGTATGTATGCCTTAATGTTAATATTTTTAAATTTTTTGTCTTTTAATATTTTTATATGTAAAACTTTTTTCAATCTCTTTTCTAAGTTTCCTGTACTTGCCTTAATTTTCTTTTATTTTCAGAGAACTAGTCTTTTTTTTTTTAAGATTTTAATTATTTATTCATGAGCGACACACACAGAAAGAGAGAGAGAGAGAGAGAGGCAGAGACACAGGCAGAAGGAGAAGCAGGCTCCATGCAGGGAGCCTGATGTGGGACATGATCCCAGGTCTCCAGGATCACACCCTGGGCTGCAGGCGGCACTAAATTGCTGAGCCACTTGGGCTGCCCAGAGAACTAGTCTTTAATCTTCATGTCTCAAAAATGTCTTGAATACTATGGTACATAAAATAGGGACTGTATTTTATGGGCAGTTTATGTAACTAGGTCCCATCCCGTACCCCTCACCCCCTCCCAGAAAAAACAAGTTGGGAAAGTTACAACAAAATTTTAAAATAAAAGTTTAGGAGAAAAAGTTACATACTCTGTCTACTTTTAAGCTTTATTCGCTATTTCATATTTCCATTTTTTGAATGTATATGTTTCAGTTGTGCTTCCAATTCATGTAATAAATATAAATGCGTAATACATTTTAATGTGAAATGGTTACAGCTATAATATTTAATATTTGAATAATAAACCAGATTATTATTCATCCTTTAATCATTTTGAATTTTAAGAAAGGACTTTTTATAGTTATAAGTTCTGTTCACTAATTATATCTAAATAGTATAAAACCATTTTAATAGCATCCAGCATATAGAGAATAAATTTGATTATAGGTCTTCACATTGTTTTTAAGTAAGTGCATTTATCTGTTGTTCAAAAGTCTGCTTGGTTTTAGAATTCAAATGAATACAACATGTCTGAAACAGAAAATGTTGTAAGGAAAATGGTCAACTTTCAAAGCTAATTACCACGCCTACTCTAGTTCTGTAAGTTAGTTTTTTTCCCAAGATAACTAAAGACTTGTATTGTTGAACAGGGGAAAAAATTTTAATGAAGAAATGTTTAACAAAAAAGTACATTTTTGTTTTATAATTAGATACTGCCTTTTTTTAGGGTGCTACAGTTCGTAATGAAATGGATTCTGTCATCATTAGTCGGATAGTAAAAGGAGGTGCTGCAGAGAAAAGTGGTCTGTTACATGAAGGAGATGAGGTTCTGGAAATTAATGGTATTGAAATTCGAGGGAAAGATGTCAATGAGGTTTTTGACTTATTGGTAAGTTGATACAGAAGAATAACTGATAGGTTCTTAAAAGCTATTTTCTTAGACCTAAAAGTACAGTATTTTAAAAATGATTATTAAGAACACTAGATAATTTCTAGCCTAATATTCACATGATATAATTATTTTCACAATATTTATTAGTAGCGTTTTATTTTGGGGTTGTTACCACTGATTTTTTTTATTTTAAGCTTTATTACTACTCGGTATGTTTTATTTGCCTCTGAAATCACTAGTATAACTAATTCTTCAACATGTATTAATTGAGTGCCTACTGTGTACTAGTCACTAGGAAAATGGTGACAAAACAAAGTCACCTCTCATTTTTTAAGTTCACTTTTTTTTTATTCTCTTCAGCTGATTTCAGTACACTGTCCAACATAATAGCCACTAGCTACGTGTGCTAGTTATTTAGATTTAAATTAAATTTAAAATTCTGTTCCCCATTCATACTGGCTGCATTTCAGGTGTTCAAGAGCAGTATATAGCTAATGGTTTCCATATTAAGATGTAGATATAGAGTATTTCCATCATCATAGAAAATTCTATTGGACAGTGCCATTATAATCAGGAAACTAGTTTATAGTTACTCTTTGAGAGCAGTTTATGATCACTTTGTATATATCCACAAGCCAGATTTGTATTATTTATGTAGCTTCGGTTGTTACAATAGAATCTCCTCTATCTGCTGATGTTTGTTGAAGAATCTAGAAAACATACTTATTTTCACCTAATATCATTCATTGCTTTGGTAGAGCAGAGTCAGTGGTTGTCATTTTTAGGCTATGTTTTATGGCTGTTGTGTTTGTTGAGCACTGCGCCCTGCTATGTCAAGACTAGAAGTTTTGATTACTGTTTAGGCTGAAGGTCTCTGAACAAGGCAGTCAGTGGTGTACTGGGAAGTAATATTAGCTACAATAACACTATACAGTTAAAAATAGAATGAGTAACAGAGACAAGGTATCTGGGAAGTGAAAATATATTTCTTTGCATCACTTTTCTAATCCTGGTCACAATTACTATTTCAAATTCTACTATATTAAATCTGTGTTTGCCAGAGTAGATAGCCCAGAACTGTTCTAGCTGTGGTATCTTCCAACCCTTCACTGTGGAATCTTCCTAAGCTTACAATGAATGGGAGACAAAAACCAAAGACTTATGGGCTAAGTGGCTTTCTCAAGTGGAACAGAATTACAGAATGCCATGTTCCTGGATAGCTCTACTATAATGGAATCAATGAAAGGTCTAATTTATGATTCCTGATGAAATGTCATTCATCTTTACCAACTTTTTAAAAAGTCTTCTAGGGGATCCAGAATAGTCCAGTTTAGGGAATATTCACCATACATCATAGAATGATTTTCATAACCTAATCTTTCTTTTACAGTCTGATATGCATGGTACGCTGACATTTGTTCTGATTCCCAGTCAACAGATCAAGCCTCCTCCTGCCAAGGAAACAGTAGTAAGTGATTTTTTTATGTTCCTTATTTATTGTCTGTTGTCTACTGTTTACTTTTTTATTTAATTAATAAACTTTTTTTTTAGAGTAGTTTTAGGTTCACAGCTAAACTGAACAGAAGGTTCTCACATATCTCCTGCCCTGATACATGCATAATTGCTTCCACTGTCAGCATCCTTGTACCATTTGTTACATCAATAACTTTTGGTGGTATACATCCTATGGGTTTTGACAAATGTATAATTTATAATATGTATCCACCATTCTACTATAGAGAATAGTTTGCCCTAAAAATCCTCTGTGCTCTACCTATTTATTAATTCCTCCCCCCCCCAACCCATGACAACCACTGATCTCTGTAGTTTTGCCTTTTACATTATATCAATATAGCTGGAATGATAACAGTATATAGCCTTTTCAGATTGGCTTTTTTTTTTTCATGAGTAATAAGCATTTAAGTTTCCTCCATGACTTTTCTTAGCTCTTGGTTGCACATTTTTTTAAGCAACATTCTGTTGTCTGGGTATACAATAGTTTATCTTCTTACCTACTGAAGAATATCTTGGTTGCTTCCAAGTTTTGGTAGTTACCAGTTAAGCTCCTATAAACATCCCTGTGCAGGTTTTTTTGTGTGTGGACATGTTTTCATCTCATTTGAGTAAATACCAAGGAATCAAAAACTTCTATCCACACAAAAACTTGCACATGAATGTTTACTTTTAAGTATTAGAAATGTCACTTTATATTTTTAGATTTTTTATTTATTAGAGAGAAAGCACAAGCAGGGGGATGGGGACAGGGGAAAGCAGACTCCCCACTGAGCAGGCAGCCTGATGTGGGTCTTGATCCCAGAACTCTGGGATCATGACCTGAGCTGAAGGCAGATACTTAACCTACTAAGCCACCCAGGTGCCCCTAGAACTGTCACTTTAATTATTTCTTGCACTCAAGTAAAAGGTAAATTCAGCAGTTTTTATTTAAAGAGATAGAAGTCTTAATATTTCAAATTTATTAAAACTTTACAAAGTAAAATGTAGAGCATACTTTTCTTCCAGAATTTTTGACTTCTAGCTTTTGTCTTTTTCTGTCATTATGGGTCGTTTATTTAGCTTAAACATACTTAGTATAGGGGGAAGTGCTTTTACAAATTATGCACAACTTTAATTTTAGAGTATGTTTTGCTTCTTATGTTAAATATTCAGCTAGCTAGCTAACAGACTTAATTACTATATGACTTAACAGTCCTACTCCTAGGTGTATATCCAAGAGAACTGAAAACATACATCCTCACAAAAACTTGTACATGAATGCGCATAGCAGCATTATTTTATTGACCAGAGAGTAGAAACAGCCCAGATGTCGGCTGGTTGATGAGTGGAAAGTGAAATATGGTATATCCATAAAAGGAATATTATTTGGCCATAAAAAAGAATAAAGTACTGCTCCTATATGCTACAACATGGATGAACCTTGAAAAAATTAGGCTAAGCGAAAGAAGGCAGTCACAAAAGGCCATGTATTGGATAATTTATGTGAAATGTCCAGAAGAAGTAAACCCATAGAGAGTGACAGTAGATCAACAGTTCCTTAGGTGTAGGGAAGGGAAGTTAGAAGAGTATGGGAGTAATTCCTAATGAGTATGGGATTTCCTTTTGGGATGATAAATATGTTGTGAAATTGCTTATGATTGCACAGCTCTGAATTTACTAAAAGCCATATGATTTTATACAGTAGTGACTTTTATAACGAATTATTTCTCAGTAAAGCTGTTAAAAATTACAGATTTCAAAATGCCAAGTTAACATGGAAGGCTGATGTATTGCATCTGTTATTTTATAAAATCAAACACTTTGAAAGAAGACACAGTTTCATTTTTTTCTCAATATTTTATCACAATTATGCTTTATATTTTGTTTATCATTTCACATTTTCCTTTTATTCTTTATGAGACATTTTGAAGTTGATGTTGCATCCACAACCTTTCTTCTGTGTAAAGTTCTTTATAAGAAGAAAAATGAGGAAATAGTTTGTCTCTGAATTCCAGCAGCCTCATTCTCTGTGCCTTTTCCCATGTCTCTCCTGTGAACAAGAGTTTGGATATTTAGTATAGAATCATGATCTGGTTTGTATTTTAAAAAAAACACTTTTGGATGCTGTGTATAAATTAGATTAGTAGAGCCAGTAATGGAAGCAAGGAGATTTAGGAAACTGAAGTCATCATAAAGTATGTTGATGGCCTAAACTAGGATGATAGCAGTGGCAGTGGAGAAAATGGTTCAGGCTATATTCTAGAAGTAGAGATGGCAGGACCTTGTAATGAACATGGAGGGTAAAGGAAAGAGGAAGTTAAGAATGTTTGAGGAACTAGGCGGATAGTGGTGCTGATTATTACTAGAAGGAAGTCTGGAGGAAAAACAGATTGGGGGAGAAAAATGAAGAGGTCCATTTTCTAGGTTTGAGAGGCATTCAGGTGGATATACTGAGTACATAGAATTGAATATATCAGGGTGCCTGGGTGGCCAGTCATTTGGGCATCCGCCTCATGGTTTTGGTTCAGGTCATGATCTCAGGGTCATGAGATTGAGCCCCAAGTAGGGCCCTGTGCTTGTGAGGAGTCCACTTGAGATTCTCTCTCTCCCTCTGCCCCCCTCTCCCCCCTGCAAATAAATAAATCTTTTTTTAAAAAAAGAATGTATCAGTCTGGAATTCTAAGGAGAGATCTGGGCTATAGTTGTATTTACTGTGGTGAGAGAAGGTCAGAGGACCAGCCTGTTTAAACATGTGTTTGCAAAATTTAAAAACAATTGTTTAAGGATGTTCACAGTAGATAAAGATAACTGGATTGGAAGGAAAAGTTGAGAAATACTGCTGTCAAATGTATTTACTTTTCCAGTAGAGGTATAAAATGTATTATCTAATTTACATCTTAATTTTTTTCTCATTTGGAAGAGGATCTGGAATTTTATAATGCAGTAAGATTTTTATGAATACATATTTTATCAGAGATACAAAAAATATAGAAAATTTCAGTGTATATTAGATGGGCATCCCTTTTCAAGTTAGGGCAGTTACTGTATTAAGTTTGCTCTTACCTTAAGGTTTGTATTTCTGTCTGCCTTCTACTAAAGTATCTTTTGGATGTCCCACAGATACCCTAAACTTCTCCTGTAAAAAATGGAAGCAAACAATAAAGATAATTCTTCTTGAGTGGGTTGGGGGAGGATTTTGAAAACTGTTGCTTGACCCTAGAAAAGCTTTTCTTGATGCTGGCCTTAATTCTACAGTGTGAGTGAGGGGTAAAGTTTAAGCCAAGCTAAAAGATGATATACTTCCATTTTCTTTTCCACCAATAATTTTAAAACTTCAAAATAAATCTGTAATAAATACAGAAATAAAAATTACAAAGAAAAATTATTTTGGAGCATTGAGTCCCTTAGGAAAGATGTAAATAAATTCATGAATCATTATCTCTTTACCATATCCCCATTGGTAGGACTTCAAGCTTATGAGCTTACAGGTACTAAAAAAAAAAGGCAAAGAGAAAAATGTGAGGCTGGAATATAATCCTATTTAAACAATCCTATAATCCTATAATTTTAAATTTAGATGGAAGATTTTGTTTAGAAACCAAACACTGTTTTGATCAGATACATTGTACTGATATTATAGCATTGTTAAACTCTGGAGTCTTCTATAAGGGTCAACATCTCTCCATTTTAAGAAGAGCTCTGTTTGGGGCACCTGGGTTGCCCTGACTCTTCAGTTTGGCTCAGGTCGTGATCTTAAGGTTGTGTAATGGAGCCCTGTGTGGACATAGAGCCTGTTAAGATTCTCTCTCTCCTCCTTCCTCTGCCCCTCTCCCCCGTCTCTCTCTTAAAAAGAGGAGGGGGTGCGCTGTTTTCCTTTGTATGGTACACAATAAATTAGCCACTAACAGAACTAGAGAGGAAAGATGGATGAAGATAACTTTTAGCACTGATAAGAATGGATCAGAATATATGGACAGAAATCACACAGAACATGTCAAGGAAATGCTCAGACTTTAACTCAACTAGATGGTTAATCTCAATGTGAAAAATTTTGCTCTTAATTTTAGTGGGTATGTTTTAAATAGCACTAGATAAACTTGTTAATATAAGCAAAACATTTGCCCTCTATACTCTTCTTCAGTCTACACAGAGAGAGGCCTCATTCCAAACCAGCTAAATCTGAATAGTCAAGGTTGACACCTAGGCAAGAGGAGAGAGAAAAGCATCTCTGGCTGATTTTGTTATCCTTTGGCAACAGTTACAGACCTAGATACAGCCTCCACCATGGTCTAATTAGTTTCCCTCAGGGTAGTAACCAAAGATTTTAGGGTGCGTTATTTTTTTTTAAGATTTTATTTATGTGAGAGAGAAAATGGGGCAGAGGGTAAGCAGACTCCCCGTGGAGCAAGGAGCCTGATGCAGGACTTGATCCCAGGAAATCATGACCTGAGACAAAGGCAGACAGTTTAACTGACTGAGCCACCCAGTGCCATAGGGTACGTTTTAAACAGCATATATATAAGTTATCAAAGGAACCTAGTTAAAATGCAGAACCAGGGGATCCCTGGGTGGCGCAGTGGTTTGGTGCCTGCCTTTGGCCCAGGGCGTGATCCTGGAGACCCGGGATCGAATCCCACATGGGGCTCCCGGTGCATGGAGCCTGCTTCTCCCTCTGCCTGTGTCTCTGCCTCTCTCTCTCTCTCTCTCTCTCTCTCTCTCTCTCTCTCTCTCTCTCATAAATAAAAAATAAAAAATAAAAATTTTTTAAAAAAATGCAGAACCAAAATCTGAGATGTGGCATAAGAATTTAGTATTTTGATAAATATTCCACGTAGGTGATCTGAGCAGAACACTTTGAAAATGTGCTGAGTATTGCTTTCAGAAAGTTATTTGACAAAATCATCAATCAGGTGACCAAGTATGGTTTCATAGATCTCTAAAAGGCTGATAACAAAAATGATCTTTTCACCACCTTAAGTAACCCCTATAATCCCATATTTAGATTTCCAAGACTTTTGGCTAAAAAACAACAATCTGAGCAGATTTTGGAAGCACTGATTGACAGAGATGATAGTCAAGCAGGTTTTTTTTTTATAATCCTACATATTAGGTACTTCTAGATTATCCTACCTCTCATACCAGGATCACAAAATTGTATGTATAATCTCTTTAACCAGCATCTGAACTGCGTTCTGATTCTCTGCTACCTTTGTATAACTTTATAAAATTCACTTTTGGTCTCTATTTTCACATCAAGAACAAGGTTCATTATTAGGGCACTGTAGTTGGAATGCAGCAGAACACTGTCAAAATGAATGAAGTCTCTGAACCATATTTAACCCAGTAGTGAATATTATGTGATTAAATTGTATGAAGTAAAATACTGGGGAAAGTAATCTATACTTCTAGGAATCAGAATGATGTTTACCCTTGGAGGACATAGGGTGGTTAGTGACTGAAAGGGCATAAGACAGGGTTTCTGGGGTGCTAGGGATACTCTGCTTCTTGATTTGTGTGCTTGTTATACAGGTATGTTTCATTTGTGAAAATTCATTGAGCCATACACTTATGATTTTGTGTACTATTTGAATTTATGAAGTTCATCTGTGAAAAACTACCCCCCCAAAAAGCAGACTAACATGTAAATTCTACATTTTTTTTAACTGGACCATTTTATTGCTTTACCTCAATGTTATTCTTTATATATTAGGACTTAGATTTCCTCATTTCTTCTTTACAGTAGTTAGTAATACATTTTTTTGAAATTATAAAAATATTGTTTAATGACACCCTCAAGCGTAATTTCTGAAAGAGGCTGCTGCTTTCATGAGAATTCTTGGTTATGCCATATATATATATGCCATGTATATATATATATCTATATACACACACACACACATATGTATCTTTATCACTTAGAAAGTATTTTATCAAATTTCATACAGTCCATCGTTCTTGATTGAGAATAGTCAAATATTGTGCTTAAGGAACTGAAAGATATTGTCTTCTCATAAAACAGTTTTTGAGGCAAGCCAGTATTATCTTTATGATAGGTAGCTTCAATTATGGTGAAGGCAAAAGTCTTAGTTAAGGAAGACAGATAACAATTGGATAGAAAAGGACTCTGAATTATAGAATTCCTAGGATGTCAATCAAATGCTTGGCTTATTTAGCTGAAACCAGAAATTTAACCTACACCGGGCAGAAGCACTCATTGTGTACAAGTGTTAAATTTCATTAAACAAAAATGGACATCTTACAGATTTTGGAAATGACACATGCCACTTAACCAAGTGGGATAAAAATTACAGATGGAGAAGGTAAAAAAGAATATTAATTCCTTTATAAATGCCTTAGAATTAAGATATAACTTTGTTATATCTTATGGAGGTATACTGGAAGAAAGAGTAGGAAATAGCTTTCAAGAAGATTCATGCTGTAAGTGTAATATATATTTTTTTTGATAGAAGTACATTGTTAACAAAAATTATAACTTGTACCACTAGTTAAATTTCAAAGCCTACAAATAGAACCCAATAAGAATTTATTATAAATTTGATTTAGATAATTTTAGCTGTTTGGGGTGTGATTGGTTGATGAACCTAAACACATCCTTTTGAAAGAAAAACAGAAGTTGAAGGTACAGTCACACAATGTATCCAAGAAAGGAAGAGGGTATTTGGGAAACTGACACTCTAAGTAGGTGACAGATGCAATGAAGTACAGTCTACCTTTCCAAGTGATTGTGGTTTAGAAATTACATACCTTATTACAGAGTCATTGTTTTCAAAGGTCAGGAATGGAGGAGGAAGGGGTCTCAGTTATATTCCCTCTGCTTCTCTCAAGTCTTTGAGGTCCCTTAGCACTTCAGGGTTGTTAGTGGCTAACAGTGCAATGGCTTGTACAGTGTTTGTGTTTGTTTTTTACTTTTGTATGAGTTTGCAGTTAACAGAGAGATGAAATTAATCAAAGAAAATAGAGAAGCCTGAGAAAATACTGCTGCTACTTAACTAAACCTCCCTTCTTTCAACTCAGAATTGCTTTGCACTAATGAAAAATTGTAACATTTTAATTATATTTATTTATGCTGAATATTTTGTGTTGTCATTTCATCATTACTGTGTTGTTTTGATTTTTATCCTTTTTATCTTTTAGATCCACGTGAAAGCTCATTTTGATTATGATCCCTCAGATGACCCTTATGTTCCATGTCGAGAATTAGGGCTATCTTTTCAAAAAGGGGATATACTTCATATCATTAGTCAAGAAGATCCAAATTGGTGGCAAGCCTACAGGGAAGGGGATGAAGATAATCAACCTCTAGCTGGCCTTGTTCCAGGTAAAAGACAATATAGTAGAACATACTTAAAAGAACGTTTAAAATACAAGCCTTCACAGAGAAAAATTCACTTTTTCATGTCTTTTAAAAAATGATTACTTTTTCATGCAGTTGGGTCTTTATGTGTATTAATAAGGTGACAGAAAGCCATAAATCCTCTGGTTTAAAACACAAAAGCTAAAACTAAATTTTTGTCTATCCTCAGTCATATTTCAGAGAATGAGGAATGAGCTTCTTATACTAACTTCAGAGGATAATGCTGCACCTTTGATTCTTCACAGTAACACACAAGACAGTACTCTAGAAATCTTGGAATACTGAATATCCATCATGTTCTACTTCGTGTTTGTGCTAGATATCAATTTGATATCTTCTCATCATGACAGACCTAGCCCATAAATATTTAGAACTAGAGTATATTGACTGCTTACATTGAGTTTCTGAAAGTATAGAAGTGCATAAAGGAGATTTCCGTGATATCATTTGTAAATCTTGTTATAGGACAAATAAATGGACCCACCTTAGTTTGAGTTTGATGATGGTTTTAAGTGTTAGAATTAGAAGACTTCTTAAGAGGTCATATTGTCCAGATTGCCATTACAATAGCAGTCTACATATGTATGTACTATAAAAATGTGCCGTAGAAGTACATGACTATAATGTTCTTAAACATTTTAATATTTAACTGACCAAAATTATTTTGTTCCTTTTTTTTCTGAATCTGTCAAAATCAGATACTTACTTTAAAAAGTTTTTTTTTAACTTATTTTTAAATTTTAATGCTCTTAAAATTTCCCCCTCTCCTCATAATTACTTGTTTTTACTTGGAATACAATCTGTATAGCTCCTAAAGATAATGTGGTTATCTATAATACTGCTTATGTGTGTCAAACTCAGTATTAATGTTTTTGCTTGTGCTCTTATGAAAATGCACAAGTTCTGCTGATTATCCCAACATAGATAGAATTTGCTTATTGATTTCTAAGAATCCTTGGCTTGAAACAAAAAAGAACTAGATATGAAAATTTAAAAAGTAGAGCTCTAATCCAAAATTTCTAAGTAAAACCACTTTTATCCTTCAGAAAAAAATACATTTGACTTTAAGGTAGATAACTGAAAAGAAAATAAAAATCAAAAACCTTGAAAGCCTCCTAAATTAAAATCTTAATTTTGAGAGGGAAACCATTGTATGTTTTTCATTATTTATATCACTGGTAGCTTAAAGGTGGAAATAAAAAAATCACTAAAACATACACATACATACAAAGAAAAGGAGATTAGAAATAATAAATGCAAGGGAATATATTAAGGTATATCTTAAAATCAAAAAGTGATGAGTGTTCACTTATTATTTTGTAAAGTTAACTCCTGGAATTAATTGATTTGATTTGAGAGAATTCTAAATGATCCAGAATCAGGATCCAGCATAGTACTTTCCACATGGTAAATGCTCAAAGAAAGCTTTGAAAAATTGAGCTGTTAATTTCTAATACTGGTTTATTACTTATCTTTTCTAATAGATGATGTATATATATTTTACTACTACATATCCTAGGACTGGCTGATAGTAAAGTTGAAACTTAATACTTTAAACATTTGGGGGCTTATAATCATAGCTGACATGGCCCATATGGTAGCAGAAAGATTTAAAAGGGGATATAAGTGAAGAAGAAGAGTTATTTTCCTCCATGGCAGAAAGATTTAAGGGGATATAAGTGAAGAAGAGTTATATTCCCCTTGACTAAAAAACAAAAAAAAAACATATTCTTTTGTCTTAAATTTTACTCTTTTCTTTCTGCTACTAAGGGAAAAGTTTTCAGCAGCAAAGAGAAGCCATGAAGCAAACCATAGAAGAAGACAAGGAGCCAGAAAAATCAGGTTGGACATTTATATTTCTTGGTTTCTTGGGTCTCCATCTGGAACTGTGTTTAAATGTACATATCTGATTTATAATCAGAAATTATTTTCTTTTAAAATCCTAGGAGTATCGGGGTGCCTGGGTGGCTCAGTTGGTTAGGCAGCCAACTTGATTTCAACTCAAGTCATGATCTCAGGGTCCTGGGATCAAGCCCTACATTGGGCTTCCTGCTCAGAGAGGAGTCTGCTTGAGGATTCTCTCTCTCTTCCTCTACCCCTCCCCTGCTCATGCTAGCTTACTTGTGTACTCTCTCTCAAATAAATAAAAAAAAATTCTACATATCAGAATAGTCAAATATGTATTCATGGGAAGAGTGATATGAGAGGCAAAACTAATTATCTTATAACTAAAGAAAGAGGATTTAAGTATTAAAGATCATCTGTAATTTGAGACTAATGGAAAATTACAGCTATTTCCCTGAAAAATAGTTCTATACAGTATGTGTTTATAAATTTAAATGGAAAACTATTTGAATTCTTCAATTTGAAATACATAGCTTTATTCAAGGAAATAAGTCCTACATTTACAGTTACGTTTTTGATTGTTCAACAGGAAAGCTGTGGTGTGCAAAGAAGAATAAAAAGAAGAGGAAAAAGGTTTTATATAATGCCAATAAAAATGATGGTGAGTTTGGGCACCTGGGTGGTTTAATCAGGTAAGCATCTGACTCTTGATTTTGGCTCAGGTCATGATCTCTCGGGGTCATGAGATCAAGCTCTTGAGTTGGGCTCCATGCTGGGCATGAAGCTTGCTTAAGATTGTCTCTCTTCTCTCTCTCTCTGCCCCTTTGCCCCCCCCCACCCCAAAAATGATGGTGAGCTCTACTCTTAGATATAGCTGGATTTATATCTGGAAGAGGTCCATATCCCACACATGAAAGAAATTAAACTGTTTTCAGGGAGTTATATTTCTAGTCCTGTTTTACTACTTAATGTTACATACATGCTTAAGAAAGTCTTTAGCAGAAATTATTTTCTTTTGAAATCTTATGAATAATGTAGCATTTTGAATTTAGAGAAAAACTAGCATAAAAATTATAGTTTAGCATTATATAGTGTTATATTGCTAGTTTCCTGTTTTTCCTACTTTATTTGTGAAATTAATATATACCTCTAACAAATTACAAAAACATAGTTGTATTTTAAGTAAAAATGAGTATTTTGTCTGTAATAATTCATGTCACCAAGGCAACCCATTCTACAGAGCCTGCTGCCTACTGACTGAGTCAGGCACATAGGAGAGTTGTTATTTGTTTGTTGTTGTTGTTACTAGGATTAAAAAAGTTTTTATCATAGCTTCTCTTCAAATCAAAGGCTTTAATAACACAGGGCTTGTAGTCCCTAGTGACAGCAGTCTGCTGGACCTGAGTGATGACTATTGTCTATTAGGCACCTCCTATCTGAGTTCAACAGTTTCCACCACATCCAGTTTTTATAAACCCAGCCTTATTTTACTGCTTTTCATTGCCTTCTTGATTGGTCCTTAAGTGCATTAGAATTTGCTACCCCTCCTTTGGTTCTGGTCAGAAAGAAACCAAATAAATAAAGCAAAGGCACTGTTTAACTTCCTATACAATTTATAAGGCTTATTCTCTTAATACCTTGAGAAATTTTTTTTAGCATAAACATGAAAATAAAATTTTACAGGTTATTGAAAAATCCCATTTAAAACTAAATCTGAGATTCAATCTACTTTTTTTCTAAAACAAGCATCTTTAATACTAATTGAAACATTGTATAACTCAGATTTATTGAATTTTTAATCCTTTCCTCTATATTTAGGTAAGTGATTAATACCTGTTTCTTTATCCTTTGAAACACACTAAATTGGTTCTGTTCTAATAGCTATTATACTATAGAAAACCTGCAAATCTAAAGCATGCAGATATATAACTCTTTATAAATTAAAATACTGCCAGTCTGTACATGTTAAAAGAAAGAACTCTGGGGCAGCCCCAGTGGCCCAGCGGTTTGGCACCGGCCCAGGGCGTGATTCTGGAGACCCGGGATTGAGTCCCGTGTCAGGCTCCCAGCATGGAACCTGCTTTTCCCTCTGCCTGTGTCTCTGCTTGTCTCTCTCTCTCTCTCTCTCTCTCTCTCTCTCTGACTAAATAAATAAAATCTTTAAATAGAAAGAACTCTGATTTTTCAAAGGGCAGGACATTTTGGCATTTTGGGAAGGGCAGGAAATACATTTCATAATGGCGTCATTGTAACATTTTTATTAATAATAACTATCATTTATAATAACCGCTCTCTTCCAGGGGCAGTAACTATATGCTTTAGAAACCTTCATCCACTTAGGTCTAACAATAAATTCCTTGAGATTATAATGAATATATTGAAGTTCAGATATTAAAGATCTGCTTAAGTTCTTAAAGCTACTATATAGTTGAGCTAGAATTTCGATAGTTTGAGTCCTGCTCAGCATTCTGTACTAAGCACTGGCAAGACCAAGATGCCTGCCTGCCCCCATGGAACTTACAGTTGAATGTGACTACACATCTTATGCTCTTTCCTGGTCAGGGAAAGTAATAATGAGTGAGAAGATGGCAGGCTGCTTGTTGTCTGCGTTTGTTTCTTACAACTTGACAGCTCTGATTTCATCTGGATTGTGGGCTTTAGGGATGTTATCCTACATATCACAGTTTATACCTCTTCTTAAATCAGGAACTCAGGTTAATATTAGTATTCCAAGTTTGGATAGCAGTTACGACTTGTTTTCACGTTCTGTAGTCACAGAAAAGTGTTCCTACTTTCTCTGATTACATTAGTTTGTAGTTGCTATTTTAAATGTGTATCTATGCCAGGTATTGTACTCAGCATATATAGTGTGTCTGATCCTTAAGCCAACTCTCTGAGTGCTGTATTAGTATCCCTGTTTAACAAAAATGACAGACCATTTGCTCATTAGTTCCTCCAGTGGTTACCCCACCCTCTGTCAAAGTATTGGCTGTAAACTATTTTACAGTACAAGCAGTGTATTTTTATTGTATTAAAACATTCAACTTAAAAAAAGAGAAGGAATAAATACTTACAGAAGGATTAATATATTGTCTGTTTTGTTCTCATAGTATCTGGGAAGGAAAATATATAATCCTACCTGATTATTACTTATCTTGATCCAAAGGGTTAAATGTTTTTAATAATAAATTTTGTTTCTTTCTAATTGTTTTGGAATACCTATGAGTTTATCTTTATTACATGGTAATAATTCTATCTGAAGTGTTTAATTTTTATCTTTTTCAAAGATTATGACAATGAAGAGATCTTAACTTACGAGGAAATGTCACTTTATCATCAGCCAGCAAATAGGAAAAGACCTATCATTTTGATTGGTCCACAGAACTGTGGCCAGAATGAATTGCGTCAGAGGCTCATGAACAAAGAAAAAGACCGTTTTGCATCTGCAGTTCCTCGTAAGTTTGGATGCATTCCCATTTTCCTGTACTTTTCAGTGTACTATCTTAGAACCTAACTGGAGGGAAATTTTTCATCCAATTTATCAAAAATAGTTTTACCCAGGAAAAAGGAACTTTGTTTTAAGATAATCTTTCGGTGGGATCCCTGGGTGGCGCAGCGGTTTGGCGCCTGCCTTTGGCCCAGGGCACGATCCTGGAGACCTGGGATAGAATCCCACGTCAGGCTCCCAGTACATGGAGCCTGCTTCTCCCTCTGCCTATGTCTCTGCCTCTCTCTCTCTCTCTCTCTCTCTCTCTCTGTGACTATCATAAATAAAAAAAAAAAAAAAAAAATTAAAAAAAAAGTACCTTATTAAAAAAAAAAAAGATAATCTTTCGGGAATTTGTAACTCAAGGTAGTCATTATTGAGAAATTTCGGGGGTTTTTCTATGGTACTAATTATTCTCTAAATGAATTTTAATTTGGTTATCTTAAAATTCCCTGTTCAATATGGAATCAGCTCCTGGCTTTTAAACTTATGCAGAAGATAGAAATTCATTCATTCATTCATTTTTTAAGATTTTATTTATTTATTCATAGAAACAGAGAGAGAGGCAGAGACACAGGCAGAGGGAGAAGCAGGCTCCACACAGGGAGCCCGACGTGGGACTTAATCCTGGGTCTCCAGGATCACACCCCAGGGTGCAGGCGGCGCCAAACCGCTGCACCACCGGGGCTGCCCAGAAGATAGAAATTTAGACCTAATCCCTGAACACAGAAATTCTGTTTAGATTATATAGTACTTAGGGGGTGGGAGAGTTGAAAAAAAAAAAAAAAGATTACGCAGTGCCTAATCTTAGGAAATAAACTTTAGGAAAAAATGAGTAGCAGTGTTTAAGATACTAAAACCACGTTTTTTTGTTCGTTTCTTAGTCTAGAAATAAAATCATTGTTAAACCATGGGTTTTTAAGATTTCTTCAATTCACCTTTTTACATTTAATCTATGTTACAAAACTGAAATTTTTCCTGACTAGCAGAATTATCCCCCTGCTTACTCTGACCCATGCCGCTATTTTTACCTGATTTTGTGTGCCTAGATACAACTCGGAGTAGGCGAGACCACGAAGTAGCTGGTAGAGATTACCACTTTGTTTCACGGCAAGCATTTGAGGCAGACATAGCAGCTGGAAAGTTCATTGAACATGGTGAATTTGAGAAAAATTTGTATGGAACCAGCATAGATTCAGTACGGCAAGTGATCAACTCTGGCAAAATCTGTCTTTTAAGTCTTCGTACACAGGTAAATAAATTTCTCATACATTTTTCCCCCCACTGATCCTGTGTTTTTTTTTAGTGGACCAAAGAGCTTAGTCTCTATTGTTTCAATTATAAACATTTGACCGTAAGAAAAGTATATTTTTACTAAATGCCTTCAGGATTCCTTATATTACTCGGGCTAACATATTTATCAAAGAACTTAGAGTTGTTAAGCATGTTGTCTTAATTAATGACGTTTCAGATAGAAAAGGTCATGTTCCTATAATCCCTGTTTTGGTAGAGTGCTTCAGTTTAGGAACACATAGTCATGCAATGGCAAAGGCAGGGTGAAAACCAGTCTCCTGATTCAAACAGTCTGCTTTTTCTCAGGTATACTTTTCCAGAACTTCTTTTGTGTATGTATGTGGAGTTCTTCCTATTCTGATTGCATTTAGACCACAGCACATGGTAACATTACTGCTTATTTCTACTTCCTCCAGAAAGGATTTTGAATATGGTTATTTATAATCTTTATGTGAGCTTCTTAGAGGATATTTTAGCATCATAGTTGTAGACCTTCAGTGTCATTCTTTTTTCTTTTATTATATAAACAGGGCGAGCTAATTTGTGTGTGTGTCTGTGTGTGTGTGTGTGTGTGTCTGTTACAGCTACACAATATATTCTTACAGTGAATGGTAGGATCGGAAAATATTTTGAATTGTTTGTTACAGAGATGCTTGGAAACACTCATAGGCAATGTTTATTTTTTTAATGACATTATTATTCCAAGTATATTATTGGGAAGTAGTTAAATGATGAAAATGACTGTAAAGATTCAAAATATCTTTTTTTTTTAGTCCTTGAAGACTCTCCGGAATTCAGACTTGAAACCATATATTATCTTCATCGCACCACCTTCACAAGAAAGACTTCGGGCACTATTGGCCAAGGAGGGCAAGAATCCAAAGGTAGAGTTATTATAGTGTTGTACCATTCCATTGAAAGAAAACATGAAACAGGCATCACCTAATATATCACACTGCTTAAAAGCTACATTAGCTTGAGCTTTCAAACTGATTATTCTTTCTGCCATATCACTTTTCCCAAAATTGCTCTTGTTGCCTCTGGCTGGATTGTGACAGCTCTATAAAGTAGGGGGCTTCTCTTACTGTTCTCCACACATTCCCTATTGCTACCCCAAATGTATAATACCTTTGGCACTCCTTAAAATAATCTTCTTTACATCGGTTATTTCCAGTAGGGATTATGTAACCCCCTTCTCTCTTCCCCCAAGAAAACTTCTCTGCAGATTCTTAGGAATTACCCACTTTTCTTTGCAGATATTCTGCATACGTGGGGAGCCAGAATTGGGTGCTATCACTTTTCTCTTCTTTTTTCTCATTGAAATTTATGTTCTATTTGTCTTCTCAGTCTTTTCATGAGATCTGAAAGGGAAAAAAAAAATTATTTTAGAAACTGGACATGGTTGAGGTTAGTTCACATTTTACTAAACAATAATAAAATTATTATATACTAATGTATTGATCAGAAAGCACTGACTTTATTTAAATGTGTGAAATGAAAACTGTCAAGTGACTTACTGTATCAAAGTAACAGACTTTTCCTTGGTTTTGCTGATTTCTTAAATAATTTTTTTTTTTTACAGAGGAATCAGTTTTCCTTATTTCATTTGCTCTCTAAATCTCCTTTAGGCCATAAATACACATAACACTCTTCTTTATAAAATCCTTAAAAGTCATTAAAAGCAGGGTGCCTGGGTGACTCAGTTAAGCATCTGCCTTTGGCTCAGACCATGATCCTGGGGTCCTGGGATCGAGCCCTGCATCAGGCTCCCAGCTCAGCGAGGAATCTGCTTCTCCCTGTCCCTCTACCCCTGCCCATGCTCTCTCAGATAAATAAAATATTTTTTAAAAAGAGGTCATTAAAAGCATACTATTACTCCTTTCTTATGATTCTTGGCTGTACACCATAACCACCAACCCTCTTTCTTCCTCCCCAAGATAGGTCTTTTTTCATTCTTGGTCTATTCATATTTCTTATTTTTTTTTTAAGATTTTTAAAATTTATTTATTCATGAGAGACATACAAGAGAGAGGCAGAGACACAGGCAGAGGGAGAAGCAGGCTCCCTGCAGGGAGCCTGATGTGGGACTCGATCCTGGGACTCCGGGATCATGCCCTGAGCCAAATGCAAACGCTCAACTGCTGAGCCACCCATGCATCCCTCATGTTTATTATTCAATCTATATGTGAAGATTGTATTTTTCAGGGTCTTAGGCTATAGACAAATAAGGATTTTTCCATCCTACATAATACACACAAATCTGGTTGATCTGTTTAGGCTAAAAGATCAGCTGGCTAAAGTAGTGTTCACCCTTTTTTATGTTTGCAACACAATTGTGAGTTCATAAATTAATGGAGTCAGAGTATCTGCTGTTCTTAGCATTTGGGATGATACAGAAAAAAATGGGACATGGCCACTGGCTTTTCTTGAGTGGGATCACAATAAAGAAAATAAAACTAAAACTATGAAACTTAGTGCCCAGTAACTACTTTGGTAGACCAGAAATACCATGGTCATTGAAGGAAAAGGGTGGACCAGAGTGAGCTTCCTCCTACTTATTCAGCCTAATTTTTCTATTTTCTAATATGCACACTTTTTGTTATGTTTTTCTTTTCCAAAGATTCAGTATCCTGCAAGGGCTATATACCATTCCAAAATATGTTAGGCAACTTTCTTTGGGTTGGTGGTGCCAGGTAATGTTCTCATGGGATTATTTATACTATTATTGATTTTTAATTAGCTATCCCATATTGAGTAAGGTGTAGAAAAGATACCAATTATCAATTATAACTGCAGGGAGCCCGATGCAGCACTCGATCCCAGGACCCCAGGATCATGACCTGAACCAAAGGCAGACACTCAACCACTGAGCCACCCATGTGCCCCTAATTATACATATTTTTAAAGGAAGAACTTAATCAGTACCAAAATGTTTTAACACTTTACAGTATGTTTGATTTTCTAATGAGAATTCTCTGATTTTTAAAAATTAACTTCATTGAAATTATTTTATGTTCAATTAAATACGTACATTTTATTTGTGTAATGTGAGTCTGGCAAAGTGTATACCTGTGTCACTACCATGCCAGTAGAGATTTAGAACATCTTCATCACTCTAGAAAATTTTCTCATGTTTCTTTGAAGTTAATACCCTTCCATTCTTCCCTAGGCAATCACTAGTGCTTTGTCACTGTAGATTTATTTTGTCTCTCCTAGAAATTCATGTAAGTGGAACCATAGAGTATATTTAAGTTTACGTCTGGCTTTTGATCAACATAATGTTTTTGAGATTCATCACTGTTGCATCAAACAGTAGTTTATACCTTCATATTGCTGAGTGGTATACCATGAGCTTAATATATCACAGTGTATTCATCAGTTAAAAATTATTTGGGTTCTTTCCAATTCTGAGCTAGTATGATTAAAGCAGCTCTAAGCATTCATAATCTTTTGATGGACATCTATGTTGTTTCTCTTGAATTGCTGGATCAAATGGTAAGTGTATGTTTTAACTGTATAAAGCTGCAAAACTATTTTAAATCAGTTTGGTGCCATTTGTTCCACATCCTTTCCAGATTTTGCTTTTTGTTAACATTTTTTGCCATTCTGATAGGTGTGATGTGTTACCATTAAGGTTTTCATTTGTATTTTCCTGATGAGTAAGGAAAGTGTCTTTCCATGTAGTTATTTAAGCATATTCTTTTGTGAAATGTCTTTTTAAAAATAAATTGGGTTGTTTTCTTACTGAGTTGTAAAAATTCTAATATATTTTCTCAGAAAATTTTTTAATGATATCTTTTGAAGATCACAAGTGTCTAAGCTGTGTACTTTTTCATTTTTCTTAAAATGATTTTTGTTTACTGTCTTAAAAAATTTGCCTGCTCCAAGATTATAAAGATTTTATCCTGTTTTCTTGTAAAACCTTTCTTGTATTCGCTTTTACTTTTAGGCCTGAATTTGTTTAGGGTGGTGGTTGGTTTGGTGTTTATTTTTGTTTTGTTTTTTAACACATGGATATTCAATTGCTGTAGCATTATCTGGAAAAGACTATCCTTTTTTCTGCTGAATTATATTGGCACCTTTTTAAAAAATGACCTGGTCAAATATGTAGCAGACAGCAGGGTGGGGATTATTTCTGGACTCTTTCCTATGTTTATGCTAATATCACAGTCTTGATTACTGCAGCTTTATTTTAAGTCTCAAAAAAAGTCATAAAAAGGAATGAAATACTCATACATTGTACAACATGGATGAACCTTGAAAGCATTATAAGTGAAAGAAGCCAGTCACAAAAGACCATTTTGTGGAATGTCCAGAATAGGCAAATCTATAAGGACCTAAAGTAGATTAGTGGTTGCCTACAGCTGGGAATTGGTAGAAAATGGGGTGTGACTGCCTATGGATATGAGGTTTTTGGCTGGGGAGAGGGGGTGGGTGATGAAAATACTCTGAAATTGTGGTGTTGATTGCACAACTCTGTGACTATATTAAAAACAATTAAAATTGTTCATTTAAAATGGGTAAATTGTAAATGAATTTTATCTCAAGTAAATCCTTACCGAGAAAGAAAAGTCTTAGCAAGTGTTTCTATAGAAATTGAAAAGATGATTTTAAAATTTATATGGAAATTAAAAGAAATAACCAGAACACTAGAAAAAGAACTAAGCCAGTGGGGGGCAGTGGTACCTGGGTGGCTCAGTCATTTAAGTGTCTAACTTTTGGTTTTGGTTCAGGTCATGATCTCAGGGTCATGAGATGGAGCAAGCATTGTGCTGGGCTTTTTACTCAGTGGGGAGTCTACTTGAGATTCTTTTTCTACCCCCCTCCCCCACCACCACCACCACAGTGCTCTCTTCACTTTCAAATAAATCTTAAAAGAAAAAACTAAGTCAGAGGCCTTTCGTCTTTGTTAATATTCTTATTTGTCTCTTTTCTATTTAATTGACTTCTACTTACTTTGGCTTTAATTTGCACTTGCTCTAGTTTCTGAAGAAAACTTAAGATTTTTAAGTCTTCTTTTTCTAATATGAAGGTATAAATTTCCCTCTAAACAGTTCCTTAATTGCATTGTACAGATTTTGAGGTTGTCTTTCATTATCACTTTGTTAGAAATATTCTCATTCCCTGTCATTTTCTTCTTAAACACATGGGTTATTTAGAAGTATGTAATTTCCACATATTTGGAGATTTAAAAAAATTACTGATTTATATTTTCATTGTGGTCAGAGAACATAGTCTGTAAAGATGTGAATCTTTCAGAAATGTTTGTGCCTTATTTTGTGACCCAACATCAGTTCTATCTGGGTGTATGTTCCATGCACAATGCTGAGAATGTATAAAGGGTGGTGTATCTTACTGCCATTTTTTTCCACCTGTGTTTAATTTCCTTTGGTATTTCCGGTACTGCTTTTTTATCAGTCATACAGTAAAAGTGTTGAACAAAAATAAGTCCTCAGTTTTAACTCTATGAAATGGTGCTAATTAGGAAGGGGCTGTGTTCCTCACTGGATGCAGAATGTAAATAATCAGTTAATCTGATTGTAGAATCTCTCTATTAGAATGGGGGCCCGAGAGTGGTAAACTGATAGTATCGAACTGTTATAGTCTATTTTGCCTATAGGCCAGTTTTTTCAGTCCAAAACTTTTTGAGCAAAAATAATTTTGTTTCATCTTAGTCATGAATTGTGATTTGAAAAATAGTTGGAAATTAAAACCTAAATTAAAATAAATGGGGGAGCCTGGGTGGCTCAGTTAGTTGTGTCGGCCTCGGCCTTCTGCTTGGGTCATGATCCTCAGGGTCCTGGGACTGAGCCCTGTGTCGGGCTCCCTGCCCACCGAGGAGTCTGCTTCTCCTTCTCTCTCTGGCCCTCCCCTGCTTGTGCTCTCTCTTGTTCAATAAATAAATAAAAGCTCAAATAAATAAAAGCTCTCAAATAAATAAAAGCTTTAAAATAGAAACAAATAAATAAAAGCTTTAAAATAGAAACAAATGGGGATCCCTGGGTGGCGCAGAGGTTTGGTGCCTGCCTTTGGCCCAGGGCGCGATCCTGGAGACCCGGGATCGAATCCCACGTCGGGCTCCCGGGGCATGGAGCCTGCTTCTCCCTCTGCCTGTGTCTCTGCCTCTCTCTCTCTCTGTGACTATCATAAATAAATAAAAATTAAAAAAATATAGAAACAAATGGTATAAACCATTTTGGCAAAAGACAAAATAATGCTTTAAATTTGATAAAAACTAGGTGGATTGGCTATTTATGTGAATCTGTGTGAGATGTAGGGCTTTACATTTCAACTCTAGCACCACAAAGTTTAGATTCTGTTTTGACTTCTGGAATGTTCTTCCAATAATCTTGAGATTTGAGTAAACCCAAGTTTTAGCAAGAATGTTACAGTGTGTTTAGTTAGAATGATGTAGTAGAGTCCCCTAGGAAACAAAGGGTTCTTCTGTGTACCACAGCCAGATGCACAACATTCCAGAATGAAAATTAGAGAGCCACACAAGAAACTGCCTCAGGACAAGCCAGAGATGTCATATTTTTAATGTTTCCTACTGTTACAGAAGCTCAACCAGTTGAAGAAGTTCTGTATTGTGGGTCCAATGTAATACTGGTGTGTGACTTTCATATCTGAGATGTTTGGACTTGAGTTAAATTAGTTCTCTTCATTGACAGGTGATTTTGGGGTAGTTTTACTTTCTTGAACACATGTGCATGGTAATCAGAGTGTTCTGAATAAGTTCCACACCCTGCCTTACCACCTGCTCATCTGTGTGAAACAGCTACTTCCTTTACCAGTGTAGTAAAGTAGTCTGTTTTGTATCATTTCCCAAACTCATCTTAAGATACTTTTTTGCATCTTTAAAGACCTCCTTTGTGTACTGAAAACAGAGAAGCAGTTTAAAGTAATTCCCCCAAGTAATTCCCCCAAAACATTAGATTAAATCTTGGGTTGACCAGCAGTGTTTTCATAGAAGGATACCCATTTCATTCTATTGATCCTTCCGTTTCCCATGTTCATCCTGCCGAACTCTGCAACAGATATAAAGGACAGTGCATCTTTATAAAGCCAAGAGTAGATGGCATTTTGGGTCCTACCAACCTTGTTTCAACCAGAAAGCTTCACTCTGTATTACAAAAGATGTTATTTTTTAGGGAAAGGTTATGATGCCCCAAAATGCTTGAAAACAAATGTCTGTAGGGAATTCTAAGTAATAGTCTTGGCTTTTGAAGCCTCTAGTCTAGTGGGTAAAACAGCTACATGAAAACCTGAGTAGCAGTATAAACAAGTTATATTGAGTCCCAAATGATTCAGTATGAATCCTGAAGACACCAGAGCAAAGGAAATCACTGAGCCCGTGAAAGGGTTGAAGAGGAGCTCCTGAAGGGGGACATATTTTGAGACAGCAAGCAATATAAGGTTATTTTTTGTTCTTGAATCATCTCTGACTCATTGTATGTTTTGATAAGGAATGGAATTACCTCAGTTTTTGTCTTCTCTTTACAGCCTGAAGAGTTGAGAGAAATCATTGAAAAGACTAGAGAGATGGAGCAGAACAATGGCCACTACTTTGACACAGCAATTGTGAATTCAGATCTTGATAAAGCTTATCAGGAATTGCTTAGGTTAATTAACAAACTTGATACTGAACCTCAGTGGGTGCCGTCCAGTTGGCTGAGGTGAGGGAAACATCCATTCTGTGGTATAATTGGACTTGATCTGGCAACTGCCACTAGGAATAGAGCCCTGATACTTGAGCAAGACCCTGAGGTGGCAGGCCGTATAAGCTGTAGACCTGTTCTTTGATCTCAAACTGGTGAGAAAATCCCCTTAGGCAATTTGTGCATAGCAGTCTTTATTCACTGTACATGGCTTTAGAGGTTCTTGCCTCCTCTGGGGATTCTAAATGGAAGCTTTCAGCAGACCAGTTCCATTTCATCTATGTAAAAACCTTTTAATTCTATTTTCACTTAAGTCTTTTGTCTGGTTTTTCCTTGAAAAACTTGTGTGTATATACACAGCAGTCCATGTCTCACGTAGTTAAAAATATTGATGCTATTTAACAGTTAACTTAAGAACTTCATGGGAATGGGAGGGGGGACTGTGCTTCTGTGCACTGGGCAAGACAGTATTTGGTTAGAAAGCTGGTTTTGTTACCAAAAATAGTTTCCTAAAAAGTTAAAAAAAAAAAAAAGTGCCATTTTGGTCTCAACCTACTCTGTTAGGCTTGAATTCATTTGTATGTCTTTTAATTCTAAAACATTCCATTAGAATTACCAGTTTTTTAGCTCAGACTTTGTGGATCAGATTTCACTGCACACAACAGATTGTGATCTAGCTAAACTATAGCATATGCTGATCTTTTTAATGACTTTTTGAATTTTTTGCTCAAATTGTCACAAGTGATTCTATAACCTTGTTTCCTTTCTGTGATGTGCATAGTACAAGAGAATGTAGAAGTTACACTTTTATGAATGGCAGATGGTCATATAAACCTGATGGTTAATTTCTTCCTCATGATGCAAATAGTTTTTCATATACATGAGAGGACATAGCACCTTTGACAGTTTTGCATTTTTATATATGAACATAGCATAATTTGAAGACTATACCATATATAGGTAATAAACTGGAATTCTGGATGAATATAGCTGCTACTGTATACTAATATTTAATAAGTTGACAAATGGTCATTGATAACACTTGTTCAGCATTGGAATAAAATTATAGCCAAGGGGAAATACTCTAATAATTGACTTTGAGATCACAAGGAAAGGATGACCTGAAAGTCATTTGAACATTATAGGAAAAGAACATGGGGAGGGTCAGGGGTGAGGGGTGGTTAAGCATACAGAAGCAGGTTTTTATTCTATCAACCTGCCTCTTAGAACCAGAATGCAGTGGCTTGCTGTTTAAGCTAATGGGATTTTCATTTCACTGTCTCTATAGCTATAGCTTTAAAATTCAACTTCTGTAACTGGCATGGAAAGTTCATTTGTAGTCTTTTCAAGCCTTTAGGGATGGTATGATGTGTGTCAAACGACCTCAAATGTGAATGTCTTGATTTTATTTTTAGGACTTTAGCTACAGCATTTCCTGTTCCCAAAGCTAAACACTGGAATAACAACATAGAGTTGTCACTTAATTTAACATAAGCAATTGTTTTTAATGAGTAGTTTGTCCTGGTGTTGTGTATATATTTGATTTCTATGTAATTTTACTTGAACAAATGTAGATAGTTTATGTTTTCTTTGTTCAAATTTGCATGGCCTTGAAGTTGGCTGCAATGTGTGTCTTACACGGAAATACTTTCAAGCTAACCGTTCCTTAGGAAGAAAGTAACTATATGTTCCTGGGTCAAGGGAAGGAATGCCATACATCCTCTTTTCAGATCTGAAACACTCCAGCTTAGGACAGAGAAAACCAAGGAATTATTAGCACTTAATCTTCTGTTTTCCAGTTTGCTTTCTCCTAAGGAATGATGGGTAGTCTATGGTAGACAGTGGAGTTTTATGACATAACTGAAAACTGTTTCTATCCCAAGATCTAAAAGGTTGGCAGTTTAGCTGTTGTGCCAGTTCCTGAGTTAGCATACAGACCGTAGAGCCACACTAGGGCCCTGTGCTTTCACAAGCAAATCCCCTACCAAGGCACGTGTGCAAGTTATCGTACACTTTTAAGTAATCTAAGCTGACAAGTGATTTTAGAGGTCAGTGAAGTCCTGCGGTTCTCTCCTTATCAGCAATGGAAGAGGGATAAAAATGTTTACGTTCCAAAATTTCCTCAGCCCTAGTGACATGAATGTGTTGATACTCAACACAGTCCCTAAACAAAGTGAAAACTTAGTTGTTGCTGACTTCCTTTAAAAAAAAAAAAAAGTCTTGCTGAACACTCAGTTGTCCAACTGCTCTGGCCAGTTCCATTTTATGTCCTTTGTGGTTCTGATTGGAGACCCCAGTGTGGGGGAGGTCTTACCCACTTACAGGAATGAGATCAATAGCTAATAAAATGCACGTTAGTTCAAATAAGGAAATACCTTTGGTAAATTTTCATAAGTCAGAACAAATGAAAAATCGTATTTAGGCTAATCCAGATTTGCTTTATATGGAGAGTATGGATTTTTTCCTTTTCTCATGGCCTAAGGAATAAGTATTGATAAGGAATAATTTGAATGTAATTTTGTGAATGTGTATGGAAAATATAAACCAGGGATTTAGCCTTAAAAAAAGGTAACCTTTTTGACATCTATTGTTAATCCTCCTTTGTACTCCTATCTTGTATCTGCACTCTTGAGTTGTCATACTGCACACTGTATTGTAAAAACGAAGTAAAAGTATATTTCAAATAAAATCACTTGAGTATGTTCGGTGTTTACATCCTTTGCTATTCAATGTTTCAACTCACCTAACCACCCCATCTTAAAGTTTCTGCCAGAAATAAGTCCATTGGAACCTCTGCATGAATCATAAAATACCTTTTAGTTTATTCTTCATGGTGGGGGAGTGCCCCCTACTGGCACGGATGTAGGTTCAATTTCCTTGTTTTAAGATAGCTTAACACTGTGAACTTAAGCATTTTCTAGGGGAAAAGGTATGTAATACTCGGGCAAATTCTACTTATATGCAGCCGCCAAGGATTGAGGGACAGAGGCTAGGATTGTTCTATATTGAGTTGACAAATCTAGAACATTAACTTTTCTACTGTACCACTCCAGATTTCTGAAAGAAGACAATCATACCAACAAAAAGTGTCACACATACACACACACGTGCTACCCATCTGGCTTTCTATTCCTGATCCTTTCCTTCACCTATGGATAGTATCACCCTGCACAACAAATTCTGTTCACTATTTTCTTCTGATTTCTAGTTAATATGCTAAAACCATAAAATCTGTAGTTTTTTTTAAATTTTTATTTATTTATGATAGTCACACACAGAGAGAGAGGCAGAGACACAGGCAGAGGGAGAAGCAGGCTCCATGCACCGGGAGCCCAGCGTGGGATTCGATCCCGGGTCTCCAGGATCGTGCCCTGGGCCAAAGGCAGGCGCCAAACCACTGCGCCACTCAGGGATCCCAAATCTGTAGTTTTGTAGGTGGTTTAGCCAAGGCCAATAAAAAAGCCTTAGGAAGCCACAAGTGAAATCTTGGTTGGTCTCTGGCCTCAGCAGGTTATGGTGAACACTGAATTTACCTAAATGAAAAACCATGAAGTATGAGAAGACTCTCATACCCTTCAAGCTATTTGCCTCCAAGAGGGACAATACCTACAGCTTAAGAACCAAGGCCTAGGAGCACCTGGGTGCCTCAGTGGTTGAGCATCTGCCTTTGGCTCGAGTTGGGATGCAGAGTTCTGCATCAGGCTCCTCATGGGTAGCCTGCTTCTCCCACTGCCTAGGTATCTCATGAATAAATAAAATCTTTAAAGAAAAAAAAAAAAAAGAACCAAAGCCTGCCTTCTAGCTCTGACACCTGATCTGACAAAGCTTCGGTTTCATCGTCTGTAAAACGGAGAGAATAGTATTTACATTCCACTCTGGTACTGGGAGGATTAAATGTTAAGCCTTAAAAATAGGTAACACTGAATCGCTTAGAAACTCACTTGTTGGCTTTCTAGTCACTACTGAAGTTACTTAGCAGAATAAAACCCCCAATTCAGTATAACAGGCTAAAACTAGGCTCCTCCAGGACAGGCCTTATATCTTACACCTTTACCCAAAAGTTTAAAATATAGGGGAGGCAAGAAAGGTTAGAAGGGTACAAAAACTTCACTGAAGGTAGAACTGCCTGGATTTAAATTCTGAATATACCACCTACCTGACCAATTACTCCAGCAAATTTTCTTGGTGAAATGTGGGATTAAGATAATATGTACCTCTTCTGGTGTGATAATATAAACACTTAAAACAGGGCCTCACACATAACTAAGATTACTTTGTAGGAGATACTAAATCTTTACAAAATTACTTAGTCCTTTAAAAAGGCTAGGCGTGTAATATCAATTGACTTAAATACTCAAAGGCCTAGTATCACAGTTTCACTAAAAACTGTCTCATAGCCAATCACCCCAGAAATGCCTGGGACTGGGTACAAGAAAGCCTGGGTAGGGGGCGCTTGGGTGGCTCAGATGGTTAAATGTCTTCTTCAGCTCGGGTCATGATCCCAGGGTCCTGGATTGAGTGATAAAGCACGACACTGGGATCCTTGCTCAGTTGGGGAGGCTCCCTCTCCCTCTGCCTGCCACTTCCCTTGCTTGTATACACACTCTGTCAAATAAATAAAATCTTAAAAAAAAAAAAAAAAACGCCTGAGTAAACAGATGGCTCACCACCAAACAAAACAGCACTAAAAACCTCAGGGGATGCCTGAGTGGCTCAGCAGTTGGGCATCTGCCTTTGGCTCAGGGCGTGCGGGATTGGGTCCCACGTCGGGCTTCCTGCATGGAGCCTGCTTCTCGCTCTGCCTGTGTCTCTGCCTCTGTTTCTCATGAATAAAATCTTTAAAAAAAAAAAAGAAGCCTCAGCTCCTGATATGACCAAATACTTCATCTTCCTATTTAATGGAAGACAGCAAGTGTTAGTTAACTGCTTACAAAAGTTTTCTTTCTTACTCTCAGAAAATTATTTTTTTTGAGAATTATTTTTTCTTCAATTAGGAAAGAATAACGACACCTCTTAACTCACTAGCATATTCAGGAGCACCCCAAAATTCAACAATCATCCCAGTAAACTTATCAGTAAAACACATACTATGAAGGGAGAAAAGGGGAAACTATCCACATTCTTTATGTCTGCAGAGAAAGCTCTTTTTAGGAGACAGTCCCATGTGCCAATCTGAGCATAAGAACGTGACTGATATTCTTAGCATAATTTTTTTTTAAAAAAGGAACAACTCATTTTTAAATCATTTTACTGTTTATACCATAATCACATTAAAATTGGCAGAACTCCCATGACAGACAGGACAGAGACCTGTCATGCAAGGAAAAATAGGGTTTCATAAAGCTTGAGAGAAGCACCAGGGTTACACAGGGCAGCTGCAACAATCTGAGGACAGTGCCAAGGTGCTGGAGCAGGGTAGGAAGAAACAGTGCTACAGCGACAGCTGGCCTGAGGCCACTGTGGCTTCCTAATGGGAATTTCCTAATATGCTTGGGAAGCAGAGCACTTTAACAGATATAAATGGAGTAGGGTACTGCTTCTGCAGAATAAATTCTACAGGTTCCTAGGCAGGCTCTACAAATCTCATGAGATAAATGCTTGCTGAATTATGATTTTGCAAACGTAGTCCCATAACCAACATCCAAGGAAATTTTACCACCAGTGAAATTCTTAGGCCAAAAAATAAATAGCCACACATACCAAACCTACACACCGTGAATTACAATGGTGCCATGTTAGAGCTTATGAAAGAACCAGAGCAGGAAAGATTATTCAAACAGAAGATCCTCATCCTTCTCTTCAGCCAAAAGATTAGCAGGCTCCATCACTTCTCCAGCTGCCCTCCGTTGTTCCAAGTCCTTCTCCGATTTTTCCTTGAGAATCTTTTTCTTCTCCTGTATTTTCTTTAACCTGTAAAACAAAAGGAGGGAATTTTCTGAACACTTCCAGTTCTAAGTAGATTTGATTGCTGCTAGTTTTATAAAGAGGGTAATAAACACCTACAAATGCTAACCTCCATATACTACCTATTTAGTATCTGTTGCCCCTACCAGCCCTAACTGTTCATAACCAATTCATATACATGCGTCATTTCTCGGAGTACTGGATAATTCTCTAATGGTATGATTTATATTATTATGTAATGCCCCCCAAGTACTTTATACTTTCTCCTAGAACATGTTCATCATGCAATACATATTCATTGATTGACAAATTCCAGTTTACCCGATCTAAATTACTATTTCAAAGATTAACCAAGTCTATGAATAGTTTCTCCTAAGGGCCTTTTTGGAGATGTCCTATTTAAATATGTGCAAAACATGGCATAGTCTCCACAGCCTTTGCCAATATTATGTCTTGCTTTCATTTATCAGAATAAAATACAGGCTGTGCTAATTCTAAAGAACATAAGCCAACAGTCTCAACAAATTAAGCCTTTGGGATATGAAAAACAAAAAATGATCAGTAACTGCCAATTTCAACAAACCTATAGAATTCTTCTCGCTCTCTCTCATCCAGCTCTGTGATGATATAAGCAAGGGTACGTTCGATCCGGGGAATGATGACTAGGGTTTAAAAAAATATGTATGTGAGAACTTCAAACGTTTTTTTCAAATTGCCAATGTTCATCTGTAGATTTTTTCTAATTGTAAAATTAATATACATTTACAATGCAAAAACATAGAGAACAAAAAGAAAAAATAAAGTATCCAACCACCCTAAAATAACTATTTCGGTATATGCCCTTAGCATCCTTTCTATGGACAGATAACTTTGGACCACAATATATACAACAGTGAATATACTGAATTTATATGAATATGTAACACTGAACCACAGATGTTACTTTAAACATAAATTCAATCCACTGTTAAAAGGTAGATCATCAGGCAGTGGGACTAAGTTGAGTTTTAGGTTAATCATAAGGTGCCACTTTACACAGAATTTGCCTATCTGCTTCTAAAATGTGAACTTGCTAAGAGTTGGAACCATTACTTTATCCACTTTGTTTGGCTTGGAATTCCATTTACAAGGCCTGGCATTAGCAGCTGGTCAGGAAAGGTGTATTGAGTTTTTAAAAATGAGATAATTTCCTCCTTAACAGCAAAATAACGTCTCTACTGTTCAAAATTTGTTCCTTTACTTTAAAATTGAATATTTCTTTAGTGAAAATGGAGCTTCATGAACAGAAAGTATTGTGGCAACGCTACACACAGTTACAGAATAATGAAATAAGAGATGGAAAATAAATGCATCCAATAGGAAAATTTTTAGGAATCAAGGAGAAGAGCAGGATATAAGGCCTATAGGAAAGGGATTTCAGGTTAAATATTTAATTGGTTCAAAAAGATTACTGAATCATTGGAAAGAACTAAAGAAAACACCAGGGCTCTTGAAAAATAGTTTCGTCCTTTGTTCATAACCAGAAATAAAACACTTCAGAATTTTTAACTTACGATTCCCTTGTGTAACTCCCCCCAAATCCACATACATAACTCTAAGTACTTACTAACACCTTCCTGTGCCCTTCCTACTAACCCACACTGCCCTTCCCACTGTGGAGAGGGTAAGGTCTTATTCACCTCGTGATCAGGGCCTGATTCCCATACAAATGTGGAGGTATGGACAAGTGGACAAAGAACCTCACAGCAGCTTACACTCACCGTGTTCAATGGCATTTACACGCCTGTTGGTTATCTTAATGGCTTCATCCAAAGTAACAAAGGAAGTCTAAAATAAGAGGACAATAATGTAAGCATGAAGTCTTCCTAATCATGTCCTATTCACTTGGCTTCATGCAGACTGTACTTGTAGAGAACATTTGGAAACCAAAACTACTTTCGACATGCTTAAAAAGCAAAAAAATTAAAAAAAAAAGCAAAAAAATTCTTATGAGGTTTCCATACAGCTAACACTATTTCCTTGCTATTATAAGTTGTTTACTTCAGATTCACCTAAAGTCATAAAAATGGCAAGGGGAGAGAATCAGGTAATATTACATATATCTCTCTATTAACTGGCCACAAAGGGGAAAAAGAGTAGCTTTCATGCATAAACCATGTTATATTTACAATTAAATCTAGTAGTGGCTGTTGCTATTCTCACCTACCAAAGAGTGAAACTCTTCTACTACACACATATTTTGTTAGTAGTAAGTGGGGACAATGGTGCCGAAGTCACCATTTCAGAAATCAAAACCCCTCTGGCTTATTTCATATAAAATCAGAAATAGCTTAAAGCACTAAGTGAAGGATGCTCTGATTCAAGATGCGAATCTTCTCCAAATAGCTCTTAAATATCAAACTGTAGCAGGAATTCTCCAGCTCTTCTGCTACTTACCTGAAGTGAAGCTAGTTCCACCAGTAATTCCACTGCTTTGGCATAATTCCTCTTTAATTTAGCCAATTGTTCCCCACCTCTGGCTAAACCAGTCAGTTCATAACCTGAAAGAACCAGTCAGACAACATTTGTAATTAGAGTAAATAATCTTCCCCATAAATTTCCCCAGAACAAGTCAGAAGTTCTCCAAATAAGGAGAAACAAATTCACTATAGTTAAGAGTAACAGTGAACATGTTTTTCTTCCCAAGGAAACTATTCTAAATATAACTATAGGTGAAGCTTTTAACCAACCTTCACTTTACCACCCTATGCCCCGTTCCCTTGGGCATCATATGGCCTGGTGCCCATAGTACAATGATATTCCATTAACAGGTGACTCTCTAGGATGCTCCATTTCTTTATTTGAGCTACACTAAATGTTCTATGTGAACCAATGGAAAATGAGTCCCAAAAATTGTTGGTCCTATGAAAAAAAGTCGATTATTTTGGAAAGATTCAATAAAGACATGTCATTACCCAAAAAATGCTATCAAATTAGGAAATGCTAAGACAATTGTAAAAAACTGAGAGCTATAAAATCTAGGACTATTTAGCATTCAGAATGCATCACAGAATGTAAGACCTTAAAGAAACAAACTGAAATTATGAACAATGCATTATGGGCATAGTTTATGTAGAAAGACAACATAGAAGTCTAATTAGTGGATTCCTACTCAAAGGCCACAGCCTTAAATTTTTTTAATGGCAAATGACTATGTTTATGTATTTATAGGTTGAAATAAATTATTTTAAGACATTACAGTGTTTTATGACTTCCTGCCATAACACTTTTATTAACTGATTCCTCCCAACTGTACAAGAAGGATGCTAACACTGGAACCACTGAACTCTAAGAAAGCCTATCTAGCACCCATTTTCCAGAAAAAGGTTCATTTAAAGAGGAATCTGGAGGGCACCTGGGTGGCTTAGTTGGTTAAGCGTCTGTCTGCCTTTGGCTCAAGTCATGATTCAGGGGTCCTGGGAGAGTACCCCACATCCGGCTCGGGAGTCTGCTTCTTCTCCCTCTGCCCCTCTCCATGCCCCCTATAGAGCCCCCTCGTGCTCTACATCCTTCTCAAATAAATATATCTTTAAAAAAATTTTTAAAATTAAAAATAAAGAGGAATCTAGAGAACCCAGAGACATCACTACCAAAGTTTCACACTTACTGTCAGTCCCTTCATGGTAATGTTCAAACACTGGCAGAGTAACACCTGTTAAAAACAAACATGTGGATTCACAAACATGTCTCTGAAGTAGTTTCTTAATTACCATTGTTCCCTATGTTTCTTTTTTAGCAAATACTCAAAAGACAAGAGACTATCTAGAACTTTACTGATTTCAATGAATCAATTTAAGGAACCTGGTATCTTAAGTGTTCATTCCTATTTAATAATCAACTTATCCTGAGTAATAAGACATATAGCTGTTACAGTTTTCTCCTTTCAGCTTTGAGGTATACGTAAAATTTTTTAAATGCATATTTAATTATGTATTTTTGATAAATTTAGATACCCGCATATACCCATGATACCATCACCACAAACGTATCTATCACCTCCAAAAGATTTGTGTCCCTTTTCTTGTTTGTGTGTGTATTAATACTCAACACAAGAGCTATCCTGAGTTTTTATATACACAACACTGCATTGTTAACTATAGGCACTACACTGTACAGCCAATCTCTAGAACGTATTCATCGTGTATAACTAACTTTATCCTCCCCCACCCCTTCCTCTGGAAACAACCAGTTACAAAGATTTTAACATGTAAAGCAAATCAACTTGTTCTAAGTAGAAGAGATTAATTAGGACGTGAAGATCTTGCCTATAAACAGATTAATTTTTAAATGTCTTCTTCCTAAGGATTCTAAAGAGTTGAAAAGTTACCTGCTACATTATCTTTCTTAGCTCGGATCTTCACCTGGGCTTTATTTACATTTTGGATAACTGTGGTGCTGCAGAAAAAGAAAAGGCTTTCATTTAATTGAGTTTTTAGAGTGACATTTTCAGCAAGAGTGAGGTAGTACAAGTATGTTTTAAGAATTCTTTCCAGAAAAAGTAAAATCACTGCTGCCAGAGGAGGGCCTCAGAGAGCAATGAACAATATTCGAAGCTCTAATGGTAAGAAAACAACAAAGAGTGATTTTAAAGTACACAGATTGCTTGAGTTTTTGGTCAGGCATATGGTGCCAAAGATGTGACTTTAAGGATTTTTATTCAGCTAATGTAATTTAGAGAAAACTCCTTCCTTTTAGGTTTGCTGTCCAAACCTTCTAGCTTGGCTAAGAAGGAGGTTCAATTCCCTTACCCTGGAACCTAACTTCCATCTGGTTTTGTCTGAGTACCCAACCCAACCTGTTCTTATCATAAAGTGTTTTCACCAAACCACCCTAAAACACATTCACATACCACTTACATACTATTGATTCCCTCCCTCTGCTAGAAAAGTCAATGCAAGTTGCCATTCTACCAACACTAGCAAAAATTAAAGTCCATCTCTTCAAGAGGCCTTATGCCCCTGAGGTTGTAAAACCTGCCCATTAGGTAATGCTTCTGAATGACACACTCTAGGAATGGAGACATTGTGTCGTTGGGTAAAGACAATTAAAAAAAAAAAAAAAAAACCTAAAAACAATTTCCATCTCTGTCCCCAAACAGCCATTTGACCTCTTAAAGGCACTGAATTTAAAAGGAGATGAACAATGCTTGCTTGGTTTACCACACAAGCTTATTTGGGGAGAATGATACAACAAAACTGGCAAAACCCCTATAAAGCCAAAACTAAACCATTTTACATGCTATGTAAAGCATACATTGATGTAAACAAAAACCGCAGAATTCACATCCTTTAAACCAATTCTATTCTCCAACTTTGCCTAAAGAAGTAATTCTACAGAAACAAAAATATCTATGCATGAAAATGTTCATGCCATCTTTTCTAACAATCCAAAAATCTAAAACCACCCCAAAAGTTCACCATTAGGAGAAACAGTTAATAAATTATGTACATCTAGAGAAAAGTTATACAACTATATGAAAATAAGACATTTAGGATACAATGTTAAATGAAAACAGACTACAGAATGTTAAGTAACCTATGCCTACAACTCTGAACCAGACACATGTGGGTGACAATAAAGACACTGGTGTTAGGGTGATAATTGAGTAATAATAATACTTTTAACCCCATCATTTGTCTTTAATGCTTAGATGCTTTTTCATTAAGAATAGCTTTTAAGTGAAATTATGAACATAAAAGCACTTTTTCAAAATATCCAATTAAGTCTTCTTACCTAAAGTCCCCTGCTGTGAACTTGGCCTCAGCAAGTGAAAAGGCAGCTTCTCTCATCACTTCACCCATTAACATTTTAGTCTGGAAAAGCATAAACCAACAACTTATTCAACCAAAGTTTTTACAAGGAAAAAAACATGAAAATCATTTTCCTTTAGTAGCCAGTATTTTATGCCAGGTCTAAAATATTGACTTGATAACAAAAACATCCAATTTTGCTTGGACAGTTTTGGTTATGGTCACTGTGTTGCAAAACCACGTTTTACAATTAAAACATCTGAATAGAGACATTAAGAAACAGAAAACAATCTTTATTGAAGGATCCATCTTATTCCTGAATGGGTACATACTTATGTGCTCAAATTAATCTCTTAAATTCACTGCACTGCAGTCAAAACCTTAATGGCATAGTGATTTTAATATAAATCCGAATATTTAATGTTTGAGAAAATCCAATCTTTTTGAAAAGGAGAGAGCTGGGGCAGGTGGGCAGAGTTGTAACTATATGTAAAACATATAGTTCCAATAAGGAATACATAGTTACAATAAGGAAATACATCAATTACAGGGACAATTAAGTCAATGAAATGTAAGAGTTCAGAAACAGTCACAAGTCTATACAGAAATTTAGTAACAGACCATTCAACTGGCCAGCCAATAACAAAATGAGCTTGTCCCCACCTCCTCACATCACACACTCCAGAAGTTATTAGTTTTTAAAATAACTATAAAACACAAAATATTTTCTTAATCTCTTTAAGCCTTTCTAAGCATTGTATATAACCCAAAAGCTTTGTTTAAAAAAAAAAAAAAAAAAGACTAACAGACTGACCAAATAAAAAATATTTTTTAGGGTACCTGGTGGCTTAGTTGGTTAAGTGTCTGCCTTTGGCACAGATGGTCCTGGGACAGAGCCCCACATAAGCACCACATTGGGCTCCCTGCTCAGCAGGGAGTCTGCTTCTCCCTATCCCTCTCCCCACTCATACTCGCACTCACAAGCGTTCTCTTTTTCTCTCTCTCACAAAAATTAAATCTAAAAAAAAAAAAGTCAGCTTTATAAAAAATGTATTTTGAAGAAGTTAAAAGCCAGGAGGAAATATTTTAGCATTTTATAAACTAGAATATTTGTAGAACTTCTACAAAAAGATAAAAGTCACCAAGAAAATCAAATAACCCATAAACATGAAAAGATGTTCAACCTCATAATCAAAAGTAGTACAATTTAAAAGATACTAATTTTAGGGGCCTCTGGGTGGCTCAGTCAGTTGAGCATCCGACTATTTGTGATTTTGGCTCAGGTCATAATCTCAGGATTATGAGATCAAGCCCTACACATCAGACTTCATGCTGAGCATGGAATCTGCTTGAGATTCTCCTCTCCCTTTGCCCTTTCCATGGCTCTCTCTGAAATAAATCACCTTTTAATTTTAGCCCAACGGACTGGCAACAAAAAGATTAATAACCAGTTAGGAAGAATTTGAGAGAACAGGTCTTCCCATCGATCATTTGGTGAGAATATAAATTAGTATAACTTGGAGAATAGTTATCCATCAAAAATTTAAATGAATAGGGACACCTGGGTGGCTCAGTCTGTTAAAAGTGTCTGTCTTTGGCTCAGGTCATAATCTTAGGGTCCTGGGATGGAGCCAGGTTTGGGCTCAGTAGGGAGTCTACTGCTCCCCCCTGCCTCCCCTCATGCTCTCTCACTCTCAAAAAAAAAAAAAAAAGTAAATCCTTGAGATTCTAGAACTTTCTGGAGAAATGCTAGCACACATACTGTTAGAAGATGGAGGAGGGACAGTAAAGTGTCCTCCAGAGGGAGAAGGCACTCTGAGACGGAAAAGCAACACAAACCACTCCATATTATTTACACAGTTATTCTAGGTAACTTACCAACAGGGAGAGATAAAGAAGACAATCCAGGCAGCTATGCAGCTACTCTCCACCACTGTTCTCTACCAAGTCTGGACCATAACCACTTTTATAGAGTGAAAGGGCACGGCAGGGAGGTCAAAGGGTATTACTTAAAGCGGTACTCTCTGCATGCCAGCCATCTCTACTAGTTGCCTGAAGTGGCACCCTTGTGCATCACTTAGGAAAGGTGAGAACAACACTTCCCACATTCCAGTCAGGTCTAACATTAACCTCCATGGGCCCTGAAACATGCAGCCCCAAGGGAAGTCATTGTGCAGCATGAACAAGATAGAGGAGAAAAACCAGGCAGTCAGTGTTGTCAGCACTCCTCTACTCTACCCTCAACATCTTTACGGCCTGCATAATCTTTATATGCCATTCTTCCACAACAGCCACACAGCCAGGTATTGGGAGGTGACGTGCTGTGGTATAGGTGACATCCCTATGCCACAGCAGCAATATTAATATACTTATAAGACCAAAGAAAATACTTAGAACAATGGTTCCCCAGCCACCCAGTGAAGAAGTCCTTTCCACACCCAGCAGCTGGAGCAACTGTAAATTTCAGTTATGTAAGGCCTATAACAAGATGTTTCCAGACACAACAGAAACATTAACAATGCAAGGTTATGGGCAGTAAGAAATGTTTTATAGGTAACAGATACGGCAAATCTTCAGTCAGCAACAACAGAATTGTGGTTTAGTTCCCATGACCTAATATCATCCCTGGCTTTGGTATTTTCCCTAGAAGATGAAACCATTTTTATTTTGCCCCTTAGTATCATCAGAGGGTGTGTCTACATTGTATGTAGACATCCATACTAACAACCCTACCTTAATACCAAGTGTCAGAGATTCTGAAGCAATTATTTGCATGTGTTGGGCCCTGACCAATGTATTAGGAATACTAGATGTGAGGCCTTGGGCCCAAGGGATTAGGACACCAAGGCACAGGGAGGAGGCATTCCAAGTCAATTTCCAATGAACTAGATAGAGCCTTACCAGATGGAAGTCTTGTAACAATCACAAAAGGAGTCCCTCCACCCCCAGGGCCCTCAGACCTCCCAACAATACCCGCACCCAAGAGCTGTAAGCTGCATGGGTGCTGCTGGTTAGGCGTTCATACGTAGATGTCTGTCCTGCTATGCATGTACAGCTTTAAAAAGCTGAATTACCAGTTAGTCTTGGAGATCATCCTTTGAGACAGCCGCCTAGTGACAGTCTTTAATGTGTTTCTTATTAGTCCATTCATCCTTTGTTAGACCTGCAGCAGTGAGACTGTAAGGCAGGTGGGAAGTCCACAAGAGAGCCCACGCCTCTGCCCGTTCTTGGATGTCATGGCCAGTAAAACATATCCCTTGATCACAATCGGAGTCGGAGTTTGTACATGCTCTCCAGTTCTGTTAATCTGTTATAGCTTCAGCCTAATTAGCTCTTTTACAGGCAAAGGCTTGGATAAGTCCTGTGCAAGTGTCCACACAGGTCAGTGTATGTTTGTGCCCTTCCAATACTGCCAAAGGGCCGATGTAATCTTATCAGCCAGCAAGAAACAGGGCTCATAGGCCACCCAACATACCCTAGGGTATGGCACAATGGCCATTACCTGAGGTGCCATTGAGAGCAATCCTTGTCAGCAGTTTACAGATTGGAATATTTTAAAGGCAAATATAATCTTTTTACTATTTGCTGAGTAGTTTTGGGACCTTGGCTAGTGTCCTGATAAATGACAGACCCATTCTCTACATCACACAGGGTCAGCATTTCCTCTAGCAGGACTGGTTTCTGGGCTAGAGCATTTGCCTCATAATGTCCTGGTACTGGGGATGGGGAGTGAGCAGGGACACATGCCATACTTGGACAGCTGCATCAGGCTTAGGGCATACTTCCCAAATATACTCCTACAATTCTACTCCCCACAGAGATCTATTTAATATACCCCAACCTTCTTTGTGCCATCACAGCATCCATGCTGTCAACCCTTACAACACTGCCCAGCTGTCAGAAGCCAAATCCATGGGCACTGGCTCATATGTCAACACAACCCATACCACCCTCAAGTCTGCCCACGGACTACTTTGTTTAGTTCCTTCTTCAAACCAAAGTACATCAGAATCCAGACAGAGAGCAGAGGAATGCCAAATAGGCAAGTTTCCCTGGCAATTGCCATCAGTATACTATGTATCCGCAAGAGGTGAGCCTTCCTCTTTACTTGGGGGAAGGGAGGCAAAGTGTCAATGACTCCTGGAAGTTGTGTTGGGTTGACTGAGGTGACTGGCCCTAGTAATGAGTATTGCTCATGAGATAGCGAGATGGTATTGCAAGAGCTCCTCCGCTGTAGGTAAGTATGCCATTTCTATGTGCTTACCCAGACACAGGCACACTTAGGTCTGCTGAAGGAGTCCTTAATTCATCCTCCTACTCACAAAGAGGTGCATACCATCAGAGGCAAATCAGCACTCATGGTCCTTCCATCTGTTTTAGTGACAAGATATATAGCTAATAGTTGTTCTTCCATGGGACTACCCCGGCTCTGTTCCTTTCCACAATTGAGACTAGAATCCTAAAAGAATCCATTTTCCATTTCATCAATACCACAAGCCCCAGCCAAACCCTTCTAGATACGAATTTACAACTAATTCACAATTCACATCTGGCATTACTGCTCTCAAGGTCTGTAATTGATTTACTGCCATTTTTGCCTTTAAGATGGCCTCCTATTGGGGCATGTCAGTTAAGCATCTGCCTTCAGCTCAGGTTTGACCTCAGGGTCCTGGATCGAGCCTGGCATCAGGCTTCCTGCTCAATAGAGAGTCTGGTTTTCCCTCTCCCTCTGCTGCTTCCTCTATCACCGCTCATGCTCTAATAAAGATGTAAAACCTTTTTAAAAAATACAAAAACAAAAAAAGGACAGCCTCTTGTTGGTTTGCACCAATCCCATCAGCTTACCCTCCTAACCAAAACATTTAAAAGGTCTTAATAGGGATCCCTGGGTGGCGCAGCGGTTTGGCGCCTGCCTTTGGCCCAGGGCGCGATCCTGGAGACCCGGGATCGAATCCCACGTCGGGCTCCCGGTGCATGGAGCCTGCTTCTCCCTCTGCCTGTGTCTCTGCCTCTCTCTCTCTCTGTGTGTGTGACTATCATAAATAAATAAAAATTAAAAAAAAAAAGGTCTTAATAGCTGCTCTATCACTAGATACGGAACAAAAAGTCTCCAGCAACCCAATAAATCAAAAAAGCCTGTAATTCCTTTACCATTTTAGGGATTGAGAAAGCTTGCATTTTACTAATGACTGTCTCTGGCATCACTTGTCTTACTTGACCAGGTGACGCCCAGGAACTTTACCGATTAACCCAGACTAAGACAGGGAGGATAAAATCATCACAAGTTAACATTACACCTATATAATGATAAAGCACTGTTGTCTCTGACAATATCCATTTTTCCAAATCTCTGGCCACCAACCTGTGACAAACTGTGGGACTATGGAAATAGGAGATACACTTGGAGCAACACCTGGAAGGTCCACTGTCTCCCATTCCATATGAAGGAAAATTAATCTTGCAATTCATGTCCTAATAAATGCTGGAAAAGGCATTAGATAAGTCTAGTACATAATGATAAGTCTTAATAGATGCCATGATTTTTCTCTAACAATAAGGTTATAATAGGCACAATGAACATGGATGGGCAGAGTAATTTTACTGAGTTGCCCATCATCTACCGTCATTTGGCAGGTCCTGTTAGATTTCATTATAGGCCAAACTGACTACTGAATAAGCACTGAGTAGGCCTGATTACCTGTGCCTTTTCTTTCTTTCTTTTTTTTTTTTAAGATTTTCTATTTATTTATTCATGAGAGACAGAGAGAGAGAGAGGCAGAGACACAGGCAGAGGGAGAAGCAGGCTCCATGCAGGGAGCCTGATGTGGGACTCGATCCCGGGACTCCAGGATCACACCCTGGGCTGAAGGCAGGCGCTAAACCGCTGAGCCACCCAGGGATTCCCCTACCTGTGCCTTTTCTAATTCTTTAACGATAGCAGTAATTTCAACATGCCCCTCTAGTAGCTCATGTTGTTTTATATTTATTACTCTCCAGAAACAGGCAGCTGTACAGGTTTCCATTTTGCATGACCCAAACAGGTTTCACTACTCAGATACACAACCTGAAACAACCTGTTGTTGCCGTTAGAGCCAGATCCTGTAGAACATCTATGCCCAAAATATTCAAGTGAGGGAAATACGCACTAGAAAAAAATGGGGAGGAAGCCTGCCAATCTGTAGGTAGAGACTAATTTCTAGGACCTTGATAATTTATCCCACATAAACATCAACAGCCCTTATTTCTCCCCAAAATTTCAAGGGGTTTCTATAAGTGTACATTCAGTTCAAGTGTCTCTTAAAGCTAATACAGTCTGTTACTGTGAGACCAATAAATGATTAATTCAACATGAAGCCTATGGTCACCCCTACTATATGCACTAGAGCACAATGTCTGCCTAACCCCTAGTCTTTAGGTGTAAGAGGCATGCACCCCTGAAATTCCTCTGTTAGCAGAACTCCCGGGGACACGCCTGGTTTTTTTGAGCCTTCTTTCCAAAGGAATAAACTGCTTTCCCTTAAGCAACACTTTCCCTAGACTTAGCAAGGCCAAATCGGGTTGTCTCTATTTTCTCTTAGGGTCCTATATAAAATTAGATCTTGCCATAATTAAGAGAACTTGATGGGCCCCCTTTCTTCCATTTTATCATCCAGAGGATTTGTTTTCCCGTTTTTCAACCTATTTCCCTTATGACAGATTCTTTTGGTTTTACTTAAGCCAGCCATCATAGTAGCTACCATCGCAATGGGCCAATTAACCACAGGGGCGAGGACAGATACTAAGTCCTACCATGCCCTGGTGGCTGACTGTAATAGAAGGCCTTCCATACCAAAGGAGAGTATTCTTTATCTAGGTCTCTAACTGCTAGGTGTAAATGGCAGGTTTCATTACCAGTTCACATAGACTCACTTGTAGTTCTTCCATGGAGATCAAAGAACATCCCCCTTTTAGGCCAAGTTATCTTAATTCTAGCATTTATCCAGTCAAACTAACTAGGCGCATGGGATTCTCACCCAGGACTGTGGCATAGAATTTTTGTCGCAAGGCAGGTTGAGCAGTGACTGGGGCCATTTCTGACATCCCAGACCTCCAAGAGGATACCATCTTCCCCAGTACCCACCGTGGTAACAGCCAAGCTGCCACCCCTTGGTGGCAGCCCTGCCTAACACAGTTGATCTGATCCAGAGAGTCCAAGGCAGAATAGTCCCTCACCGTCCTTTCCTGACTAGTGGGAATCTCTTCTCCCTCATCCTCAGGCAAAGTGGCCTGGAGCTCTGCTGCAATCAGAGGGGTTACCTGTAAATCATCTTCCTCCTGTAGGACACAGCCTCATCAGAGCCACTACCCCAGGGACCCCACTTTAAGACATCACAGCTCTCCCTTCAGTGTGCAGCCATGGTGGGTAACCAAGCTCTCCACTCTCCCACAGCCGGCCCGAATTTCCAAGTGTCCCTCCTGCTGTGGGATTCCTCCAGACACAACATCCTGAGGGGAGATACACAGGTGGTTCACAGATTAACAGAACCAACGCTTCTCCAGTCTTCTCTGATTCCCGACTCCTTCAAAGTGCTCCACCACCTACGGACTGAGGGCCCAGCTACCACTAGTCTCCTCTCCCTTCCCCTCTCAGGCAGGCCACTTAACTACCCCTGGGGCATTTCCCCCGAAACTCCACACTCGTAGGCCAGGCCACCTCTCCCCACACTGTGGTGGCCACCAGCTTGGGCTTCCCTTGCCTGGCCTGGATGGCTTCATTTCATCTCCAGGTTGGCTTGCTGCCTCTTAGAAGGTGGAGAAGGGCCAGCCAAGTATCCCCCAGAGTCAGAAGGCACCCTGAGAATAAAAAACATCACAAGTCTTCCAGAACCATTTACACCATTTTACTCAGGATAACCTACCCACAGGAGGCACTGGACCAGCTAATCACCCAAGAAACTACTCTTCCACCAAACCTGGCCCATAATCCCCTGCTTTTATAGAGGGAGGGACATAGTGTGACTGTCACAGTAAAGCTACCTCAAGTGGTGCCTCTTGCAGGCTAGCCACTCTGATCAGTTACCTCCAGTGGCACCTCCTGCGGGCCAGCCACCCCCCCAGTTACCTCAAGTGGGGCCTCCTGCGAGCCAGCCACCCACCTGAGTTACTTGCGCACCACTCTAGGGAGGATCAGAACAATGCCTCCCTACATTCTGGTCAGGGCAAACATTAAACCTCCATGGAGCCTATAACACAGAGCCCTGAGGAAGGTCACAGCGCAGCCATGAACAAGATGGAGGGCCAAAGATGGAGTCCGTGTTGTCAGTACTCACCTACACATGAAGATTAAAAGTACCCTCACCCACTAAATAGTAAAACCAAACATTCATCAACAGAAAAATGGTTAAATCCCATTATCCATTCAATGGTGTTCCAAGCAGCTATCATAAAGAAAGAGGCAGATCTACGTACTGATGCAGAAAGCTACCCATACTCTGCCAGGGAAAAGAGGCAGAACTGAACTATATAATGTATAACAGCTGCGTGTTACTGAAAACATCCATGATGAAAAAAAGACTGTAAGTGTTCCAGAAAACATCTCTAGGAAATGAGAGAAGGGTAGGGGGTGAGAGGGGATCTTCACTTTTTAAATGTATTTCTGTATTCACCTATCATTTACTTAAAAAGTACTGAGTTGAAACATACTATGTGCCAACACTGTTCTGGGAACAGGAACTAAGTGCTAAAAGGATTAAGTCCCTGCTCTCATGGAACTAACACTCTCTAGTGGAGGCAACCAATCAAATAAGAAAATATGCAGTAGTATGTGCTATGACAAAACTAAGGAAATGTGGGAAGCCTGGGTGGCACAACTGGTTAAGTGTCTGACTACTGGTTTCACCTCGGGTCATGAGACTGAACCCTGCATCCGGCTCTGGGCTGAGTGCAATCTGCTTGACTCTCTCCCTCTGACCCTCCCCGCCCCCCCATGCATGCTCCTGCTCTTTCTCGCTCATTCACAAATAAATAAATCAAGAAAAGAAAAGAAAGAAAAGAAAAGAAAAAAGAAAAAAAGAAAAGAAAGAAAAGAAAAGAAAAGAAAAGAAAAGAAAAGAAAAGAAAAGAAAAGAAAAGAAAAGAAAAGAAAGAAAAGAAAAGAAAAGAGACAGAAGTAAATACAGTGGTCACTTCAGGTTGGGCGATCAGGGATGGCCTCTCTGAACAGACCAGAATGATGAGAGGAGCAAGTCAAAAGAAGTCCTGGAAAAGAACATTTCAGGCAGGAGAAATAACTAATGAAAAGGTTCGGAAAGAAAATGGTAGGGAGAACGCTCCAAATGAGATCAGAGTGGCAGGCAGGGGCCAGATCGGATCAAGCAGGGCTTTGCAGGCAAGGGTAATGAGTCCATATTTTATTAAATGATCTGAAGCTTGTTAGTCATAATGGTATTTTTACTTTTGAAGGAAAAAATTTTAATTAAAATAAAGAAAAATTAAAATGCCAAAAGCCATGCTGGATTTTCCTTAGGTATCTTTAAAATAAGCAACTGTTGTAAACACAGTTTATTCTACCTCTATTATCTTCTTTAGGATCTGTCGAAATCGAAGAGTTAAGGCATCAGATTTTTTCTTCAGGAGGTTTCGACCTGTTTGCGCTCCTTTTAATCGAGCCTTCATGATGGTCTGTGCCCTATACAAAGTTAAAAATATTTATTCCCACTGTTTAAAAAACATAAAAATACTTCCCCAATACAGTATCAAAGCTATGCTTTACTTTTTGATGTCATGAAAATAAGAACATATAGCATTTGTGCTGACAGAATTAAGTTTCTCACTGCAGATTTCCATCTTCAGTGCTCCATAAATAAGAAGTTCATTTACTTAAAACAGAAATAATTCTTTAATCAATATCTGGAAAAACATTAAATCATAATACAATTTCTTAGGGGTCCTATTTTATACCACCATAGCTAAAATATTTGATTTGCAAGTTCAAATTATATCTGTATTTCCATTACAGCTGTATTAAGCATTTTTTTAAAAAAAAAAATCTGTCCACTAATATCAAAAATTGAAATGCTCTTACCTTCGGGACTAACAATTCCACTATGTGAAATTTATCCTACAGATTTACTCTCGTATGTACACAAAAATATATACAAGGTTAAGAATGAGTACTCCACCCTTGTAATTGCAAAAAGGTGGCAACAAGCTAAATGTTCCATAAATCATGGTTCATCATACAATGAAATAATATGCAGTCATAAAAAAAGAGAAAGGTAAAAGAGCAATATAATCTATATTATATTCTCTTATGCAAAGAAAGGGATGAATATGCTTATACAGATACAAAGAACAGTTCTAGAAAAGATTCACAGAAACTGGTAACAGCTACCTTTAAGAAATGGGATTGAGTGAAAATATGTATTTACTTTTTACTATATTTATTATCTTTTGAACCTTTTGTATTAGATACCACAACCATTAATTACTTTTTCTATTAAAAGTATGGCATTAAAGTGTTTTCATCTCACCAGTCAAAATCCTATCACCAATAATTTTATTACTTTGTAAATGACTCTAGGAACCAATGACACATATTTCTGAGTAGTGACAAACTACAGAAATCTCCTTACCTCCGTTTTCCAAACTTTTCCCATCAGAAACCCCAATACCAAAGTCAAGAAAGTAACAGCAGAAATTGACATTTCTGTTCTTACTACCATATGCCAGATAAAACATAGTAATAAAAAAAAGTAGGTAAGATGATTTAACGATCGATTGTATAACGTAGATACTTAAGGTATTTGTATAAGGGAATATAATTTCATATGACTGACATATTTCTATTGCAAAACAGCATTTATTAATGTATTAATGGACCTTGGGTAAATTCCTAGATTTTATTAATGGACCTTTGGGTAAATTCCTAGATTTTACTGAAATCTTTTTCCATAGGGAAAAGGTTACACAGACAATTCTATAGCTGAAAAAAGCTTCAAATATTATCTTGAAAATGAGGCTTAGAAAAATGAAACACTTTCTTCCGTCACAGGGGGGACGGGATGGGGACAATGATGATGACTAGACTGAAACAGATTTCCGACTCCAGTTTCTTGCCCAAGACTCAAACTAAAGCTCAAACCCAGGCCCACTGTATCCCAACCACATGCCACAATGCCTATTTATAAATAGCATCAGATGAACAGTTCCCTCTTTGAAAACTACTGTCAGTAGCTGAATTTGCACTGACTGGCCTCACTGGAGGTCTAAGTGAAGCCAGTTCAGCTTCCAGCCTGAGCTGGAACTATCCAGCCCAATGTGTACATTTAACATATTATGTTGTTGACACTAATGACCAGAATTTGGGCTCAAAGAGTTGGAGGATCAAATTTAAGTCAAATCCTAGCTGCAGATTCAATACAGTAAAAAAGGTGAGCCGATTGATAAAATTAATCATGCTAATTTTAATTTACTCCTAGCTAATGGCACCTCTGTGAAATAGACAAATTTTATTTCTTGAGTCTTGAAGAGGGATTTGCCCAAGAGTTTACAGCTAGTATGTTGTAGAATCTGGATCTGAGGGACCTCTGTTGACTGCAAATCCTTCATGCCTCTTTCGCTTTCACTCTAACCTTGTTTTGCTCTTTCTGGTGCCTAAGTGGGAGATAGCCCCACTTCACAGGGTAACACTGTATGGTGGAACTGTCTGACACAGAGGTCACTATAGTATTTTCTACCCTAGCTCTTAAAAAAAACAGAGCTGCTCAGCTCTAGGAAAAATGTTCGACCTTCAGCTAGAATGATGACTTTGTTTTCAGCTGACTCAAAGACATCTGACTGCATGACAAAATACCTGCTGTTAAGTCTTGAGGAAAATATTTAGAGAAGCAGTAACTTCCTGCACCTTATTTTCCTCTCAATCACCAAGCTGAGTGCTCTCAAATAGCAATTTTCACTTTTATAAACCTATTAGTCTTCTTGTCTGAACCCAAAGAAGGTCATTTTCACTTCTTAGACTCAAAGTACAAACAAAAATATGTTAACATTCTGAGTACCATCAAAAATAAACACAGCCAGACATTAAAGTGGTGAAAAGAAATTTTGTTTAGTAATCACTGAAAGTAGGAGAAAGAGTTGAACTACATTCTGACTCGTACAGAAGTGGTTAGGCATTTTAAAGGAAGAATAAGGGAAAGGAGCTAGAGTGGACTCAAGAAGAGTCACAGAAGTGAAAAATTACAAAGGGTTGATCACTGAAAATGACACTTGGCTAGTTGTGCCTGCTAGCTGGTAGTCATGGAAGTTAGGATTCTATCTTCCCATGAGACTGGGAGACAGAGGCCTCATCCTTACCAATGACTACATTTCAAAGAAATGGCTTTCAGATTGTTGAGAACGACACTTCTGAGTTGTAGGAGAGACATACATATCTCAAATGGAAAAGAAAAGACTCCTAATTATAAGCTATTTTTAATGAATGCCTTAAGAAAGGGAGGTCAAGGGCTATCCTAGGTATTGGACAGGACAAACAAAAAAAATTCTCCTGGTAGCACTGGGCTTTCTCAGGCAGGCATTTTAACGGTTGCTTGAGTCATTCTAAGAACAGAGCCTTAGGCCATGCTAGTTTGGTGGTGTGTCAGGGAAGACTTTTGGTCAGTCAAGTACTGGGAGTTCTGCAGATCTTACCATCCCAGGGTAGCCTTGGTCCTTATCTATTTTACAGGCACTACTTTTCTCCACAACTGACTTGCTTCCTACCTAGTACAAACACCTATTAGAAAACCAGTAGGTGAAAGTAAAAAATAAGCAAACAAAATCCAAGAGCTCTTTCATTTCATTAACAGCTAGAGCTACCCTGGCAGAAACAAATCTAAGTCTGGGATTTGAATGTAACTCTTTTACTTTAAGCATTCTCCGATTCTCTGAGAAAAAAAAAATCAAGATAAAGGAAAAAAAACCCAGAACACTCCCAAAGAAATAGGGCCACAATCAAAAGATCTAAATATCAAAGCCTAACTGATTTTCTACTTCTCACTGAAGAAGAAAAAAAAAAAAGTAGTAGTAGAAGAGAAGGCAAATAATAATCTTTACTTTCCACGCATTGTTAGGCACATCTGAGAAAACTGCAAAACCGTCTTTAAAAACTGGCCACTTGGGGCTCTATGCTTTTTCTCCCACAAAAGAATTCAGGCCCAAGAGAAGGGCAGGCCACAAGTGAGCAGATCCCAAGAAGACATGGGTTCATTCAAAGAAATTTTTTTGTAGATTTTCTATGGGTTAATTATCAAGACGCTCTCTCCTCCTGGAGACAGCTCACAATCAGGGGGAAAGGTGTGTAAACAAATATTCACTTTATATAATCTGATGGGTGGTGTAACAGGTCTGAACGAGGTGCAATGGTGATGGAGCAAACGGAATGCCTCAGAAACTCAGGGATATCTTCCCACTGCAGGTGACATTTCGTGGGATCTTGGAAAATGAGGAAAAGGATCCAAGATTGAATCTGATGTCCACGCTAGGGCAATTCGACTCAACCCCCAATTTGGCCTGGACGCCTCTCCTATGTGCTTCTCACCATTGTAAACTTCCCTTCTCAGAGTATTTATCAAAACTCGCTGGCTGGTCCATCTCTCCGTTAAACTGCGAACTCCCTTAGGCAAAACTGGCGACGATTCATAGTTCTATAAATCCACTGCCCAGCTAAATAAGGGAATATGGGATGAATGGCTTCATTGCTAAGTCAGCGCACCTCCATAAAAACAAGCAGGCCGGGCAGCCTGTCCCTACGGATTGGAATCGCTCTGTTCAGTATGGTTTCCTCAGAGGGATGTGTGAGGGGGCCGTAAGGGTGCATCGCCCCAAACTCACGAAATTCAGGATCCGCCCAGCAAACAAGGAACCTCACTGCCGGTCCGGTGTATGCGGGGATCGCTGCTCGGAACACGCGATCATGAACCTATGGATGCTGCTCGAACCGTTCTTTTACTTACATGCGCGAGGGGAAGATTTCAATTCGGTCTTTGCCCGACATTCTGACGATGACAGTTCGGCTCGGATCCCCAGCCGGGCAATTGCGGCTGCAACAGCCCCAGCCACAGGGTCTTCCTCCACGGGAGTCAGCTGATTGTGTCACCTGACCTCTTCGCGTTGCTAAGTGGCAGCTGGGATACGTATATACGCATTCTCCACTTCCGCTTCCTGTTGGCACGTGGGGAGGGCGGGGAGCGGGGGGGGGGGGTGGGGAAGGACAAGAATGAGGCGATGCCCGGATGTTGAGGCCTCGCTCGCACCCCGCACTGAACTTCCCCTCACTTCCGGTTCTCCCCCAAGCCCCGCCCCTTCAACTCCCAGGAGGCTGCGCAAGACAGCACGCGCGAGGTGAAAGAACAGGAGAGTACACGCCTTCTCTTCCTCCCCTTTTCATCTTTGGTCACAGCGCCACCTCCTGGTTGCCTGAAGCTTCGAGCGAGGGTTAATTCTTCAAGGACAAGGAATCAGTCCTACTCCTCCTGCGCCTTGAAAGTTACTTAGTGAAAACGACAGAGTTCGACAAAGCGTACTTTTCAGGTCCTCCTATGATCTTCATCCTTCCTTTTTCTCTTCCGGAGGACCTAGACTCTATGGTCAGTGAGGAAGAGGGACCTCTATGCCGCTGGCGCTTGCGTGATGCGAGGCGGTTCCGCATGCGCGGTGGGGTAGAGCCAAGCGCACGCTGAGGATCGGCCGCTGGGGCGGGTGGACTGTCCGATCTCTGCGATTAAAGAGCACGGCACGGGATCCCGGCGCAGGATTCACACACATACCTCAGGTGACTAGTTCCCCAGATCAGATTCTTTAAGAACTCGCTTTGGTTGTGTGCAGTGACGGGTGTGCGGGGGAGGGTAGGCCCCGGGCTCACACCCCTCCCTTTCCCGTTCCTGCGCGGGAAGTGTCCGACCCCCCCCGCCGGCGCCGGCTGGGTCCGCGGTGTTCCAGGGGGTCCGCGTACCAGCGGAGGAGTCTGGTGAAGCCAAGTGAGCAAGAGACGCTGCAGCCTCTTCGATAGGCTCAAAGTGAGGATGCTTGGAGAGGGGGGCGGCTTCGGGGGAGCGCTGTGACACCCCCGCCCCGGGACGCTCAGCGCTTTGCTCGGGGTCTGAGAATACCGCCGCTCGCCTTTTTTTTTTTTTTTTTTCCTCCTCCTCCGCCCAAGCAACTACTGCTTCTCAGTGGAAACCAGACCAAGCGCTTGAAGGGCCGTTTGGGGTGGGCCGCTGTGTTGGTGAGATCTGGGTTAAAAGGATCCGAGAATAGTTTATCTGCCCGATAATTGATTTTTTTTTAATTGATGCTTACTACCGTATCGCTTGACTTGTGCATTTTTATACAACGAGTCCTCCCTTGCATCGAAACTAACACACACCGTTGAAGAGTTTACTATTCATAGTGTCAATTTGCCGCATCTCAGCACCAATGAGAAAAGACAAGCTGTGGCCCCAACGGTTAAGCATAACTAAAAAGATAAGGGAATTTGGGGGTTAAATACGTATTCAGCCTGAGGCCTTTTTTATTTCTCGTCAAACTTAGGCTGCTTCATTAAACAAGAAACGTTGTTTCTTGGAGAAAAAGCTGTAACAAGGCAGTGTTGGTTTTTCTCCCGGTTGAAGTTATCAAGGAAAAAAAAAAATGTGTGATTATGTGTCTTTTCAGCAGTTCGTGAATTATATAGAGCTTTACTGCCTCTTCTGAGTCGGTCTGATGCCAAGTGACAGTTAATTATTCTCCTAAGATCTCAAAAAGACAGTAGTGATATTTGTGATATCAAGACATTTGTGATATTTGATTGGTGCTTTCTATTTCAACTACGGTGAAATAGTTTGAGAGCCTGTCTGCGTAGCACTGCTCTACTAAAGACTAGCATGCAGAGAACGTTCCCCAGAAACATTTGAGCCAAGTGGGAATTATCACGAGTTATCTCTATCACATAACACACTTAACTTTGTAAAGTGATGGGGACTCCCCGGATCTGTTGGGGTTACTTGACCATGCACTGGTTTAAGAAAGAAGTCCATCCTACCCTTTGACCAGGCAAAATTACTGACAATGCAGGGTATTTGAAATCAGCTTGGAGTTCAGGTAATATATTATTGAAATATAGATATTTTGTGTGGAAGAACACATACTGTATTTTAGTACTCTCACATACGGAGGCCTTCTGGGTTAAAGGTATTCTGCAGTTAATATCAGAAGACTTGGTTTTAGTTCCTGTTCTGGTACTTACTAAGTATTTATCCTTGAGAAAGTCATTTAATATTTCTGTTCCTTGGTTCCCTTTTAATTGATTGCTTCACTTACTCCTTTCAGAGTACTTTATATTGCTTGTATTTGCTTACTAGTTTGTTTCCCGCTCTCTACTTTCTTAAGTAAGAATCTTTAAGTGTCAGTAGTGCTTAGTACATAAATACTGCAAAAATAATTGTTTAACCAATGAAGCTACAAAATGGCAATGATACCCACTTTGCTTTTTAATGTCATGTGTGTATATAGCACATTACACTTTTCAAATTTTTTCCACATTTCTTAATCTCATTTGTTACTCTCCAAAGAGAGGAGAGGTGTGAGAGGTCCATGACACAGACTAGAAATTACAGTTTAATGGGAATGCATTTCCCGAGCAACTACAGCTAGTAAGTAGGAGAGCAAGGCCTGGAATCCATGTCTAGAGTGTTTTGTAATTCTTAGCTACTTTCTATGTCAAATAGCATACCATCACTTGTGTTCTTTTTGTACGCTATGTATTGTAAAGAGATTGGTACCTCTTAAAGCAGTAACATTCATATCTCTCATCAGGATTCCTTTACAAAATTGCCTGTGTGCTTTAATCATCAAATTAAGTCTTACTTCCCCAAAATTAATCAGCTTTACTGTTTGAATAAACCTGGTAAGTAAATGTGGTTAGTTAGTCCCTGTTAAATCTTTTAAAACTGTTAAACACATTTCTGTGACATCATTTACTTTGATATTCAGTTTAAAACTTTTAGCTCTTGAACTTTAGTGCTTTACATACAGATATTTGACAACAGTTCTCCAAAAGAGAGAGGGGGGGGGGAAAGCCCTGTTCAAGAATGAAACAACCAGCTCAGCTGTTTCTTGGTGGGTAATTCTGGCCATTGAAATGTCTACTGCCCTTTATTTGCTAAATCCCTATTTTGTCAAGGTATAAAAGAAATGCATTCCTGCTGCTATTATTAAATTTTGCTTTATTTTTATTAAACAGGATAGATTAGTATTAAAAGCTTGCATTGTGGTGCCTAGGTTGCTCAACGGTTGGGTGTCTGCCTTTGGCTCAGCGTGTATCCTAGGGTCCCAGGATCGAGTCCTGCATCGGGCTCCCTGCATGGGGCCTGCTTCTCCCTCTGCCTGTGTCTCTGCCTCTCTCTCTCTCTCTCTCTCTCTCTCTCTTTCTTTTTCTCATGAATAAACAAAATCTTTTTAAAAGTAAATAAAAGCTTGCATTAATCTTGCTAAAGTACATACTTTAGCACTGAATATGTATATTAATGTTACCTTTTTTAAAAGCTGTTTGTAACTTATATATTTATCAAAACAGTGAAAATACAGCCTGATGCATAATAGCACAGACTATGGATCCAAACTTCATAGGTTCATATTCTGACTTTCACTTGTTCACAGTATATAACAGAACAAGTTACTTAATCTGTGTTTCCATTTCTTCAACTGTAAAATGGAGAGAACATGGGAGAGAGGCAGTGGCCAGATCATAGAGGATCCTGTAGGTAGTGTAAAGATGTAAAAGTCAGTGGGAGGCCACTGTGAAGATACGTGTGGGTGCAGTTGGCAGTCTCAAACTGTACTGCCCCAGAAGTCTGGTGTTCTATGATCTGGATGTTTTGTCTTTAAGATCAAGTAATGGCGGCCTTATTTCCCGATTATAGGGAAAAAATTGGCATGCCTGGGTGGCTTAGTTAAGCGTCTGGCTCTTGATTTTTGGCCAAGATCAGGATCGTAAGATCAAGCCCCACATCAGGCTTACGCTGGACGTGGAGCCTATTTAAGATTCTCTCTCCCTTGCCCTCTGCCCTACTTGCTCTCTCTCTCTTTCTCTAAAAAAAATAAAAGTAAATTCTCACATACTTTTCTTAGGCTTTTAGGTCCTATCACTGCCTATTTTGTGAACTTTGAGAATAGTAAATTGGTTAAGATTAGTAGAAAAACATGAAAATCATCAGCTATGATTAGTTTTATAGCCCTCTTTTAAAAATACACCTCTGTGCATGGTATAATTTCAGTCTTGTAGGTCACAAAAGGAGTGGTGCTGAAAGTAGGTTGGATAGATCAAAGGAAATAGAGTTTAAGAGACACTTGAACTTTATAGTAATGGAGTTCTGTAAAGCTATTCTCAAGAGTAGGTATACTTGTTCAATAAAAGAATTTAGTTGTGTTTAGTTATATTTAATATTTTGTGATTAGTAAATTTTTAGGTTGTATCTTTACACATACTGTAATTTTGGCTAAAATGATAGGGTATATTATTTGATATATGATTTAGGACCATGGTTTTAGTAGTTGGAAGAGTCTTCCCTTTATATATTGGTGGTAGTATATAAAGACTTAGCTGACTTGGAGAACGAGTAGCTTTAGTTTGGCTGATAGGTTTATAGTAGTAGTGATGCTTCCCATCATTTGTTATTTCTTAAAGTGATGATATTAAAATAGTAATTTAATCTTGAGATATACCTTTAATCCTTAGGTCTCAAAGTACTTTATAGGTGGTCATTATTTTTTATGATTCCTCTAAAACTGATGGCAGAGAATCACTCAAGCCTTAAAAAATGTGGAGCAAAGTAAAAATTAAAGCTTGATTCCTGAACATCCGTTTTCTGGTACCATTTAAGAAGTTTAAAGAGGTGAAAAGACAAATAGTTCTTCCAGTGGCAAGATATGGAAAATTGACATTTCTTTATTTTAACGTTAACTGAACACTCACTTGATTCTTTTGTTTAAAATGCAGAATGCCGGGTCTAAGTTGTAGATTTTATCAACACAAATTTCCTGAGGTGGAAGATGTAGTGATGGTGAATGTAAGGTCCATTGCTGAAATGGGGGCTTATGTCAGCTTGCTGGAATACAACAATATTGAAGGCAT